TCATTTACAGATCATCATGTAATTTTAACCAATCCATCCATACATTAGTTTGCCCCTCATGAAAAAACAACAAGTCACTCAAAGCACAACATTTAAATATTGATAGCAACATTATTCAAGAAAGAAAAAATGTCCACCAAACAATATTTTTCTATTCAAAACTTTCCAAACAATTCCCAGGAGACATATTTGTTAGACACAATCTGTTTTTTTGACATCTACCAGCGATTTCTTGGCTACCATTGCCTCACTTTGCAATAATATCACGACCTCAAGTCAAAAATTTTACTCTTGTTCACCTTTGTTGCCTGCACTATTCTCTCTAACAGACCTCTCCGGAAACATGGGCTTTCAGTTCAAAAGGTCATGTCTGCAGGTTGTAATTGGTTGATTCTGATCAAACTTGTGTATTTCAGTTATGATTAATAATAATAATGGAATCTATATAGCGCTAATACATCGCTGTTCTAAGCGCTAATAACTTTGTCGGAATGTATTGTTACTTTTCTGTAATCCGATTGGTCATCTTTGTCTAGGTGGCCCTGGTTATACTAGCCTGTGAACAGCAGACGCATTTCCGGTCGTCGCTTCTCTCCCTCTGAAAAATAGCGTCTGCGAACCCGAGCGACAAAACGATTTCCGTGACGTAAAACATTTTTAGCCAATCGCAGTTTAGCTCTTAAAATCAAGGAACTAACTCGCGAGACTTCTCGCAGGATAGTGCGCGATGGATATGTTTTCAAGTCGAAATTGAAAGGACGACGTGGCTTGTGTATAGCTGTCCTTTTTTCTCAGAACGATGCGTTTACGAAAGTTAATTTGCCAGGATTGTGGGACTGATTGACGAAACAAGTATCAAGAGGATTCATATCGAAGAAAAGATTAGAGGACATTTTTCATCTATTTGCCTACGGAGTCAATGATTTATCAGACGTAGTTGTTTTGATCATATTCGAAACGATAACTGTCCTAATGACAGAAGACGCATCATGCCGTTTGTTGCTTCTGTTCCTTTCTGGTTCCTGACAGGAAAGTATGCCTTGGAGAACGCTTCGATAGTTTGTCGTGTGCCGTTTTAGATATTTTTTAAGTAGATATCCTTTATCTTTGAAAGGTAGGACATGTGGTAATTGATTTCCCATGCGTGGTTGTTTCTTGGTTCAGATAGAACTTTGATCAGATCGAAAGCATTTTATATTTGCTCCGGTATATTTCTTTAAATACATGTTCTTTTCAAGGTTCTCATTTCCATAGTTTTTTTTTAAAATGAGTAGAAGCGTCGTAGCTGAAATGTCATTTTGACTATGATCTATTTACTTCTGTAATTATTTATTTCACGCTGGGTCTGGCCCAGGTTTATAATATTTCAGATCATTGTGTTGTGGCGATACTAGAATTATTAACGAGCGATTGTTAGAGATTTCTGAATCAGTCAAGGATGTGCCTGTATAACTGATTCACCACCTTTTGTCAGCGCTAGTTAAATTGAAATAAATAAGTCTGAGCGCGATGTCATTAAGCTATGTTGCTTTCCTTTCGCTGTAGCGATTATTTTGTCCAGGTTTTGTTTATGTCACGTACTACCGTATTTTATAAAGCGAAACCAAAGGCCCACATCACATACATAGCTTAAGAAGCAGTTGCTTCATGAAGAAGTCAGCATTCAACGTCGCAGGAAACCTTGTTATGGTCGTGAAATTCACGTTCCAAAGCGTATTTGGTAATTCTCTCCAAAATCCAAGACACTTCAGCGCGCGAGGTCGCGAGGAGTCACTCGAGCTGTATTCTATCCTTTGATCTGATTGGCCTACATCAAAACTAGCCTGCAGTGCAGGCGTTTTCTTTGAGCGCGAAATTTGCTCGCGAAAGTGCCATGTTGAAACTTCCCGAAGAGAGGAAGAGATGGGGCGAGTCAAAGGGAGCGGGGAGGGGGCGGGGAGAGAGAAGAGAAAACGCCTGCCCGAAAACACTGTGAAAATGAGAAACACCCCCTAATAGGACGCGCGTGACCGCTCTTCCGGAAATGAGTAGCCGACAATAACAAAACAACCTAACCAGTCCAAAGACTGTCCACAAGACTAGCATTATCTTAAGAAAAACAAGCTGGAGTTTATCATTGTTTTTATCTTGACTGAGTCACAATGTAATTCTCCACAGCTGATGAAGCTTCAGTTTAAGCTGCAATTCATTCTCCTAAATTCATCTCTGTAAATCGCTATCAGTGAGAGTTTAACATCCTGCAAACAATTTTTTTGAAAAAACTAACGAGCTGGGCCCAGCGTGATACAACATTGCAGGAAAACATCACATTCTCGGACTAGAAAGAAAATCGCTTAGTTATTCAGATCCTGAGGCACTTTGGACAAACATTAAGAACCTAACAGCCTTATTTAGAGGCAAAAAGAGCTTTACGCTTCAAAAGAGGTCAAAGAAAACGCTCTTGCATCAGAGGGCAAATCATGAAGACCAGAAATTCAAAAACCACAGAAAATCAATAAGCGTGTCATGACCTCTCAATGTGAAACAAGGGGCTAAAATCACATTTGCTCAGTCAAAACATAGAACCCTCTAGAGCACAATCTACTCGCCAGAAAAAAGAACGTATTGGAACAAGCAGCATTTTGGCATGAGGTAAAAGTTGTGTAGGTTTTAGTACTGCGAGCAAATGTTGTCCTGATGACCAGTGTAGAAATCGCTTTGACTTTCTCATTGCGCGACATTCCCAGCGGCTCCAATTCCAAAAGACTGACGGAAACGGAATAAACAATATAGACTTACAGTTAATTGACAGGCATCAATCTACTTCCCTATGCCGCACCAATCAGGATCTCCGTTTGCCAGCGTACGGAGTTTCCCAAAAGAACAATGATATCGGGCAGGCGTATTTTTTTCTCCCCTCCCCCTCCCCCCTTTCCTTCTTTCGCCCTCGCACCTACCGTAAGGGTTACTATTTCTACTCTCCCCAATCTTCCACTGTCATAAAATCAAAGATGGCGGCTACAACAATATTACGAACACGAGCAAGGTTTCGCCCACCCAAAATACGCCTGCACTGCAGGCTACATCAAAACAAAAGGTTTTACGTCACGGAAATCATTTTGTCGCTCGGGTTCGCAGACGCTATTTTTTGGAGGGAGAGAAGCGACGACCGGAAATGCGTCTGCTGTTCGCAGGCTATGGTTATACTAGTAGTTGCACTGTAATATAACATCATTTTGCAGACACCATGTTGGTGTCCCTAAGAAGTGTCCAGAAACACGTGTCATTGAGTTTCTCTATAAGGAGCTTTTTTAAAGACATGGTACGTAAAAAAAAAAAGATCTCATTTTCTAAGATGTGACTTCTATGTCATTTAGTATTTCTGAGAGTGAGAGTCCTGCAGAACCTACACAAAGAACGCAAAATATTCCACACAAACTGTCAAACTACAAAATGTAAAACGAAAGGAACGAAAAAAATTTGAATCAAATTTAATCCAAGACGTTTATTTGGCAGTAACTTCTTTAAATAAAATAGAAAATCATTTGATCACTGACACACACGCGTACGTTTTTGTACTGTACAATGTACAAAGATTGATCAGCACATGAATGACAAGTTCAAGGGATAACATGTTCATCAAAATACAAAAAAAAAGAAAAAGACTCTTTAAAATCAAGAGCTAAATGTGCGAGATGATTTAAGAAAATCTGGAAATAAGCTTCTACGGGAAAGAGAAAATTCATCATTTAGAGCGACGACCACGAGTAATTTAACTCCAGACAATGAATCTTACGTAACATTAACTAACGTCGTTTTGGTAGGATTCTCGCTACTGCAAGGTATGTTATCCGAGACAATTTCTACACAAGGCTCGAAAGATTGAATAAAATTCAAAGATTGTCCCATACATTTTAAATTAGGAGGAAATTGAGCTCATAGGTCTTCCCCGAGGTTCCAGAGCTTCAGATCAGACGTTCGACATTTCCTACCAGGCTGACACAAGTAATGTGAATGATACTAAACTAAATAGTTCACCATGAAGAATTTTAACACATAAAAGGTCAAACTTACCACTACAAAACTGGGAGTTTCGGCGCACTTCGCAATGGCTGGTGGTGAAGTGTGCACAATTAATAAACAGTGGACAAAAAGAAAGAATCGTAAGACGAGGTCAAAGATAAGTGTGATCCTTCAACGTGATTGGTTCATTTGCAGTGGCGCGACAGGCTCCCTCAAGCGTGCGCGCGGGCTGGAATTTACATCCCCGGGACCCACTTTGTTTACAAGTAATTTCCCGTTCCTGCAGCTCTAAATGATTTCTGCAACTTTTCCACTATTTCTTTGACAGTTGACTCAAAAGGTGAGCACAACTAACTAAGTGTTAAAGTGCAAGATGCATCTTTAGGCGTCTGCTTTTGTGAGGTAGGGAGCAGTGTGGACGATCACCGTGTCCACGAACTTTGCACATGTCCCGGGCACGTGAGGCTCAACTCGATGTTAATCGACTTTGAAGTGTATCGTGAAGACGCATTTCCATTCCAATTTTATTTTGTCTGCAGCCTTTGTTCCGGGAAAGTTGAAAAGCGAAAACACTGGAAATAATCATGAAGTAAATATATTTGCTCTGTTCGTCAGCTGTGAGTGTGTCGCTGTGCAGAAATAAGTGACAGCTGCCGGTGATAAGCTTATTTATATTGCACGAGTTTCGTTAAATTGCTTCGAAAATTGAAAGTGCAGAAAAAAGCGACTTATTTTCTTGTAATTAAGCAATCGGTTTTTAAATGCCAGACGTTATACAAATTGTTCAACTCGCAGGAGTAGTTGCATAATAAACTCGTGTCTAGCTCATGCCGTAAAATTATCTGCGTTGCGCGCATATTGCAACAGATGTCAAAGATCACGGTTGTAAATAATATGTACATAATGTGTTTTTGTGTGGCCCTTAGTAACTAAAGATTGTTTTCCTTTGATTTCTCCCGTGAAACTTTCTTTTGTACATGTAACAGGCCTATGGTATGAAAATGCAGTGGGTCAGGGATTTGCAAGATTTCTACAAATGGGCCGATTCTGTGAGTGGTGAGTGAGTTTGTAAAGAATGAAGAGGATTTATGAATTTAATTTGTTTTTACTAGATACAACACCGGATCGATTTAAGTTCTTTGCATGGTGATCTTTGATCGGGTTAAAGTGAAACAATACAAAATATTAGTGACCAAATTGTTACAGTTGTGAAACTCGGCCTTCTTTATCAAACAACTTTAATTAAAGTTATTTACGTTTTCTGCAGACTACAGTGTAGGTAGATGTTACATGTTACATTGTGTTTTCAAAATATTATCCGTCCTTTTATACAAATACAGTTTAAACAATGATCTAACTAAAGGGAACAAACGTTATTGTAAAAACATGGGAGTATCTTTAATAACCTGATTTGTACCTTATAAAATTCTTTCTTGGTAGAGGTCCCGGGAGGGGGAGGGGGGCGGGTACTCAACAAATATTAATACGGGGAGGCGCCGCCCCGAGGTCCAACCCCTTACCTTTTATATGCCATTTTTTGCGAAAAAAAGGTACCCCTTTCAAGTGACTTTTATTTACAAATAGTACCCCTTTCACATACCTTGCTTAGAACTTTGCATCCCTTTAAGATGCTGTAAATGCACTGTCTTTTAGGAATTGATCACAAAAATAGAACATTTTCTCAGCTTTATAAAGCCATAAAAATTAGCCTGTGAACAGGCCTTTGGTCGAGCGGGGAACTAGGGAGAGGGAAAACCTTTCCCTTCCCTTTCCTTGCTATTTTTTTCCCCAAACAAATCGCCTGTTCACAGGCTACATAAAAATCATCTGTTAGCTCTTTAGTCCTTTCACAGACCCAAATGACATAGACTACAAGTAGTCCCCCATTTTTCCTCAGGGATTCACACCCGCTCGCGTTTCGCTCGCTCTACTATCCCTGGGGAAAAATTGGGGACTACTCGTAGTCTACAAAATGACAGATTTCCCTACCCTTTCATATACCTGAAGCCTGAAAAAGGTACCCCTTTCGGGCAGGATCTCCCCGTATACGCCATTACAGGGAGTATCCCCTCCCTCGGTAGAGGTAAAACTAACTCTGTCACCTCAACTATGATTATTAGGTGGGTGGGGGGGGAGGGGAGGGATGGGGGAAAGACTCCCATATGACAGGGGTAGGATGTTTGTCTTTTTATTTTGTGGGTGCTGGTTGCAGATTTTGCAAGCAAAGAAACTGGAAAGAAAGAAACCCTCAGTGACAACTTCCTTATCAGAGTTAAAATAAAATTGTGACTTAACGCTCGGACGTACAAGGGGGGGGGGGGGAGGGGTGTGGATTGTTGTTTTTTATTTTGGGGGAGGCGGGTGTGATATTTTAAAAAAAAAAAACAAGACAAAAAAAAAACCCCAGTGTCACTTTTCTTATATGAGATAAAAAAAAAATTGTGTCTTCAGCGCGGGCGGAGAGGGGGGGGGGGGGGGGCTGTGGATGCCCCCCCATACGGTTTTCCTGAGTTTTTCCTTGGGGATAAAACATCAGCACCTGATGTTTTCAGTAGCTGTTCATTCATCCCTCGCGCACACTTTGAGGCAAGTTCAGTGATGGTCAGTTGCTATGGTTATGAGATATGACGTCATAAGTAAGAGGCGGTCAAGCCATTTTTGGGTGAAAACGATAGTGCCACCAACAATAGTGCCACCACCCATAAAATATATTTGATCTTGTTAAGAAGATCAATGGCTTTCCACTAAATGTCAAATTGTTTTGAAATACTGCAACATATCAAAAACTCCAGGGAGGGGTTACATCCCCCCCCCTGTCCCACAGTGGGGGTATGAAGTTGCTTGTACCTCCGAGGGTTAAAGCTCTTCTTTGTCCATCTGTTCTAATGGAAATATCACTAAATAAAGCTTGAGCCACACCCAGATAAGTCTGTTCTAGGGGTTCAATTTCAATTCTTTGATGAGCATCTGAACCCCTAAAAAGTCCTAAATTCCAGAATAAATAAATGGCTGAAGGATTGCCATAAATTAACTTTTGCTTATCTTCAGCCATTTGCTTGAGACTGAAATGTCATGTCGATTTTTTATTTGCTGAATGCTGTACTCAGACAGTATTATTATTTTTTTAACAGAGAATGGTTTTGCTGTTTTCTAAGAAAATGATAACAAAGGGGTTCTTGAAAACCTTTGACTTTATCAAAGAAAACTATGCCCTAGAAATTTAAGCTCTATGGACGATCTCAAAATTAATTAAATGATACTTGACTTTTTTTATTCCATCTTGCTTTAGATCCAAGAACTACAAAATGGCTATTTGTCCCATCCATCCTATCACCCATTTCTTTTGTAGTAATTTATTTATTGTTAGTGTGGAGTCTCCCCAAAGTGATGAGGAACAAGGAACCATTTCAACTGACAAACCTACTTGTGCTGTACAATGCTGCTATGACACTTTTGAATTTATACATCTTTGTTGAGGTTAGTGAAAAGAAGTTGTTAACCTTTAAAGCCTCACTATCCTCAGAAGTCTCTAAAAAGTAGTCCTTTTCTTAGTTTACTGATTTCATTTTTTGTACAGTAATTCTGTGGCATTCTGGTCATTCTGTTCTATTAATGGGTTTATTCACCCCGCCTATCCCTTAACCTAAGAAAACAGCCGACTTTTTGCGACACTACCACAGATTTCTCCATGAATAATATTCTGTACTGATTTATGATGTGTCACTTGACCCAGATCTGGGAAGTGCTTCTGATTGGTTGAAGTAAATCTCTTGTGACATGACCAATAAAAAGCATTAGCTAGATTTGGGTAGTGACATGTCATCAGTATGGAATTTCTGCAATCGTTCCTCAGACACCATTTAGAGCCGGGAGGAAACCAGTGGTAGCTTTGCAAAATGTTGGCTGTTTTCTCAGGCAACCTACATTTTGTATCCGATCCTCTAATCTACTTTTTGCACTATCTCATTATACAGTCTGAAAACAGTTTAATTTTGCCTTTGGTCCTTGAATCTTGCCAGCAGAGTCCTCAAATGTCTTAAATTTTGAAAGGGCATATATCTCTCTTTAAATGCCACACTACTGCCACTGTAAATTAATTTGTCATTCTTCAAGTGCAGCTAATTACTACTGTTAAATTCAAGGATTAAGAGTGGACCACGTACATTCTTAAACTAAGAAAAAAATTGCTCTACTAAATTTCTATTGAGCAAACCAAAGGTTTGTACCTACTCTGCTGTTGAATTAAAGGGCTGTTTGGATACATGTATCACTTTTAATTATAAACCTAGCTATGTAGTTTCTCTTTTGATAAAATGTCAACAGTTCGATCTGGTCTTTTCCATTTGCCGGAAACATGATTCTAAATCTGAGATGTATTTTAGCGGAAGGAGCAATACGATAAAAAAAAACAAGCAACTTCTCACAGACAGCCATGTGCTCAATTCAGCTATATTTCCCATAATAATATATGCAGCTGATAATACACATGTGATGTCACGCTACAAAATCTCCCAATGTCCTCAATGTCCTGTTGATAGTTTTAGTTTACAACACTTCTTTAGGTTCTTATTTCGACTACAGCTGCTGGATATAGTTATTCCTGTCAAAACCTGGACATGAGTAACAATCCCAAGGAAGTGAGGGTAAGGGATTTTTTTTTTGGCGTTGTCTTTATTTGAACAAATTTCTGTAATGATTAAGCTGCATTTCTAGGGTGTTAGTTGGTTAAATTGATAATCTGCAAATGTTACAGTGTTGTAATGGGTCTTAACAAACTACGAGCCAGCGAGCCATGCGAGCCAGCGAGCCATGCGAGCCAGCGAGCCATGCGAGTCATGTGAGGCATCGGTAAAAAAAAAAGGAAACACAAGTAAAAACTGCAAATTTACAGATGAGGAGTTGAACACTCATTATACTGATTAGGGTTAAGCACTCATTGTACTGATTAGGGTTAAGCTTTCATTTTACGGATTAGGGTTAAGCGATTATTTTAGGGCTAGGGTTAAGTGCTGTTTAGGGTTAATTAACACTTATTTACAACGTTTAGTGTTCAGTTAATGTTTTCCATATTACTGTTTTCGAGTTTTATGGTGTTTTTTTCAATGATTCTTCAATGGACTGTATGGCTCACATGATCGACTCGCTGGCTCGCATTTTATACACACTCTGTTGTAACTGTTGTACTAATATTACTGAAGGCTCTGTAGTTATTTTCAGGAGAATTAATGTTGGATTATATATCCCTTTTTTATGCATGCATGTAAAGCATTCAAGTGCCTAGCTCTCCTCAATAACTGAGAGGCTTGGTAGAAAAGGGCAGGCTATTGTCAATTTTGCTGCTGGTTTTAGTCCAAGGGCTGTGTTACACTGTACACTGTGATGTATTTCCTGGAAAACTATTTTCTCATCCCTGCTTATTTCAAATCCCTTCAATTTATGCAACTGATAGTTGTTTTCATATTAATATGTGCTTATATTTAATTTAATTTTTATTTTTTTAGTGTATTTATTTATTTATTTATTTTATTTTTTATTATTTTTTATTATTATTGTTTTTTTTTTAACTCTTCTCATAGAATTTAATTGTTAGCACTTTTGTAAATTTCTAGAATATTAGTTTAGATAGCTGTTAGTGTACAGGCGAAGAACCACTTCGTGGATTGGTGAAAATTATTGTCCAGATCTTCTTTTCCTAATCCAGTCAAGTGCCTATATGTTCTAGAATTAACAGTTGGTTTCGATTCTAACCTTAACAACAATGCAGTGCGTAAGAAAGAAAAATATCTGAACTTGATCAACAAAATGAGTAGAAATTACAGATGTGTGAGATTTGTAAATCTCTCCATGAGTTCCCTTGGCGTTTTCTCCGATGAATGCTCCACGTTCTTAGACATGATGAATGACACTGGCAATTGACAAAAAGCACCAACGTTATGTAATCAAGAAAATGATAAATATAGCCATTAGAGCAACATATTACATCTTTTGTTGTATAAATAGGAACTGGGATAGCCCAGACTTAATGCAATTTTGATTTTATATATATATATATATATATATATATATATATATATATATATATATATATATATATATTTTTGATTTTTTTTTTTTTTTGTTTTTTTTTTTTTTTTTTTTTTTTTTTTTTTTTTTTTTTTTATTACTATTATTTTTTGTGTTTTATAATAATAAAAATATACAATAAAGAAAAATATAAAAAAATTTATAATAAAAAAAAAAACAAAGATAAAAAAAAATAAATAAAATTTTAATTTTATATATATATATATATATATATATATATATATATATATTTTGGATTTTCTTTTGTTTTTGTTTTTTTTTTTTGTTTTGTTTTGTTTTTTTGTAATAATCCAATCTCAAGCAGCATTTGTAATGCCTATACGTAGCGAGATTTACAATTGTACATTCAAAAACACAAATAAAGTTTCCATTATTATTATTATTTGTGGTCTTGCCAGATTGCCTCAGTGTTGTGGTGGTTCTATGCCTCAAAAATTATGGAACTTCTAGACACTGTAAGTACACGTGTACATTGTATGTCAACAGCTTCTATTTTCTGTTTTTTGTTGTTGTTGTTTTTTCTGAAAATTAATTGTTCAATCGTTACTTTGTTTCAAAAGTGAGCTGGTGTTGTGAATTATGCAGTTAATTGTCTGTCTTTTTTGTGTCAATTGCAACTTTTGGCCTTAAGATTCTTGCAGGCCTGATGTGAAGTTTATGGCATCAAGATTATCTGATACATGTAGCAAATTTGATTTATGGTGACAGTTTTAACTTAGGCTGATAATTTTCTCAGTATTATTTCCTGTAGGGGCTCTGGAGACCATGGGAATTAAGAGTTAATCTAGGGCAATTAAAAATAAGCCTGAAATCAATTTTGATCTGTGACATTCCAATAAATTAAAAGTTTTTTGCTCGCCAGGGAGCTTCTAGAACTGCCTAAAAAGGCCTCAGATACAGATGGTATTAAACAGCAATGTCATGATCAAATGACAAGTACATATTGTACAGTATGTCAGAAATCCATTTGGAATGGAATGTAATAATCTTATTTATGACTTACACCGGTTTTTAACCCTCCCCCCTTACACTCAAATGTCTATTTAGTCAAGGGTCAAGGTTTGGTGGGGCTCTGATCTGCATGGGACACCAGGGTAACAAATTCACTTTGTAAAGCACTGTATATAATATATCCTGTAGATGCATGGGTACTACCAACTTTGAACTTCACCGTACACTGTTAATACACTGTACAAGTAACGTTCTATTGCCATGATACCTGCAGTTCCTTCATGCCTATGAAGTCTCACTTTTAGTAATAAGCTCTGGATGTGAAGGAGATCCTGTGGCTTATGTAGAAGTGAACAACCTGTATGTGTACCTTGGCAAAATACTACATTGTAATTAAAAAAATACCCGCCTACATGTACTGTACCGGCACTGTATTCAATGGATTCCTTCCTTTGACTTGTCAGATGTTTTTTCTACTACGTAAGAAGAATAGTCAAGTATCTTTTCTACATGTGTATCATCACACTACCATGGTCTGCCTTTGGTGGATTGGTATCAAATGGGTGGCTGGTGGACAATGTGAGTACAACAGGATTTAATTTGATGATAGGGAATTTAAGGCCAACCGTCAGCTTTGAAGGGGTGCATAAATAGGGTCCTAAGTGAATTAAGTCTTCTTGTTATGTCAAATCCTCTATTTTTTATACTACCAAATATAGCAAAGGAATATTAAATAGCAATTTATCTGAAGTCACTTGGGGATCTTTTTTTTAATCCACTTATCCCTTCAATATACTGAAAGAATCTTTGCATGGCCTTGTGAACAGAATAGTAGGAGCACTCCTGAATAAACGCTGTAAATGATGGCAAAAATCTTGATATTACTGTAACTTCGCCCAATGTACGGGAATCCGGATTGCGGGAAATTTTTGCTTGTGGAATCCAGAATCCATGTTTTGTTTTTGTGGAATCTGGAATCCTTGGCTTTGGAAACAGGAATACAGATCAAGGAATCTGGATCCCAATAATTAAAATCTGGAGGCCGGAATCCAAGTTCCACTGACAAAGGATCCAGAATTTATGGCGTGGAATCACGAATCCAAGACAGTTTTGGATTCCCTTACGTAGGGTGGATTAACTGTTAAGTCTTTTGTATCCACAGCATTTTTAAGTGCATTGATTAACTCCTTGGTTCATGTCATCATGTACACTTACTATGGGATGTCAGCTGTGCCAAGTTTACGCAAGTACCTATGGTGGAAAAGACATCTCACCCAGTTTCAGTTGGTAAGTTGTTTTTCCTTCATTGCCTGATAAAAGTATTACCGTGAAGAGTGGTTTCAGTTTGTTAAAAAAAAATGGACTGAAATAATTGATTTCCCTGTGATACTTCCTGTACCTAGAATAATTTGATTGCATTACATTTTTTTTCAAAGCAGCTTAATAGTTTGATAAAAAAAAAGAAGCTTTTCCTATACAGCTATAAATTATGACTGTACAGTTTAAAGTCATTTTTTGGTCTTAATTTTTATCATTATATAATTTAACTAAGAAGAAGCTTTTTCTATACAGCTTACTGATAATCCTAATTCTTCTGGTTATAAGCCACCCTACAGCTGTGCATGTATCTGTCACTCTTAGAGCGCTGGTGAGCTGAAAGTTGTATGCAGGGCGGATAAAGGTTGGGCGGTGAAACGAGCGCGTCCGAGCAAAAAGGTGTGATGCAGTGGACTGGGACTCTGCTTAGAAATGTCGCTTGTTTTCGACTTCGGTCAGGGCTTGCGATATGATGTGGTTTGTACATTAGACACTGCCGCTGTCACTGAATTATGGCGGTTTGAATTGTTTTCTTGCACTTCTTCCTCGTTCCTTTGTGCTGGTACGCTGTCTCCGAGAGGCAAATGTTGCTATTTTGTGCGGGAGGTTTAGTTGGAGTAGACAAACATCTCTTTCAAAGGGTTTCTTTTATTACTTCCATGACTCTACCACTGAATTATATTTTCGTTCTGCTACTCGCCAAATTCGATGTTATTCCAAAACAAAACAACTAAGTACTGTCTAAAACACGAAGGAAAATCTCATCCATGTAATCCATGGCAAAACTAAAAGACAGCAGATCGAGTTTCATAACTAGATGACGTGTATTTTATAAATGCGTGCAGCTCGTGCAAGGTGAAATTATGCTAATTTCAATCACCATCATCCTTCTTTTTAATTTTGAAAAAAACATCTCAGACGTCTTTCTGTTTCTTCGAAACTTCAAAATTAGCTTCCCCTCAGTTTTTTCTGTTTACCTTGTTTTGTTTTAGAGAGAAAAACGGAGAAAAAACCTTACAACTAACCTCAATAAATTTTGTTTACGTGCGGTTGCCGGATTTGCAACGCATTGCGCGAATCGCCATGGCGCGTTGCACCCGAGAAGCAAAGTTTGAAGAAGTACAACGCCACTATATCAATATATATCAATCTAATTTTTTGTTACGTTATATAAAATTTATCCTCCTTTAACATATGTAAAAATTGAGGTTAAGAAGTGTTAAGCTTTTGCAAACGAAACGGCGAAAGACGATTAGGCGATATTTAGTGGAAGGAGGAGGTATTCAACACTTTCAAATTAAACTCAAATTTTGGCATTATACGACCAACAAGTTTGACTTATAGACGTACAGACACAAACATATAAAACTGTTTATTGATATTGTTATGAAACGAATTTATCTATTTAACATTGTAGCCTGAAATTACAGAAAGAAAATAGGATTTCCGGTTTGCAAAAAGGAAAATTTCGCCGGTCTTGAAGCGCACCGGAAGCGCGGAAAGAGCGCTCGTGCCAGTCCTACTCCGCATCACACATTGAATGAAGAGAGGAGCGCTCGTTTCACCGCCCAACCTTTATCCGCCCTGGTTGTATGTCACCTATGATCTTTTCCGCTATCATGACGGAAACATGAAGTAGCTACTGCCTCATGTGAGAGTCCGCTGACCAAGAAAGGCTCAAATCCATGACATGAATCATTCTTCAATTAAGGTGGTTTAGGTCAGGTTTACAACATTTATAGTTAATGTAGATTGCATTTGTTTTGAAGAAGGTAAAGAAAAAACTATTTTGCAAGTCAGAGTGACTCCCTCCGTAACCTCAGTGGAGTCATCTTGAAAAATTTGGCGTATTTGCGAACCCTGGCCCTGATTGATTTGTTATCATCCCTTACAGATACAGTTTTGTATTCTTCTCTGCCATGGTGTTGTTTCACTTTACGTCAAGTGTGATTACCCCCTGTGGATGCAATATTCCCTGGTTCTCTACATGGTATCTTTCCTCGTCCTGTTTTCAAATTTCTACATTCATTCTTATCTTGCCAAGAGGCACAGGAAACATGAACGTCAGGTGGTTGAGTATGAAAACAACAAGGAAAACAGCGAAGCTGTAGCAAATGGGGATATTGTGGCAAATGGAGTGGCTAGTCCATATCTTAAAGAAGGCAAAAAGCACAACTGACGCATTCATTTTCTCTTATTTCTTTCAATTTTAGAGCCGTTTGGTTTCAATATTTTATTTTTACCATGCATTTTTTAAACTCTTACATTTAAACATGTTGGGGGGCCTTTTTAGTCAGTGGCAAGCTGAACAAGCAGACTTGATGAGGCTGGAGAGAGATTTTCCTCATTTGGTCACTAGATTTTCCCCCTCCCCCAGAAAATTCTAGTCCTGTGATTTTTAAATACAGAATAACAGTGCTAAGTTCGTGTGGGTAGCAGGATATTGTGCAATTGTGCACCCATAGTAACAAAGCCAACCATGCGAGTAGAGTTGAGGAGGCTATGTCACAATATTCGCTATCTTTTTAAAAAGTTAATGTCACTATTCCGCTTAAGATACGCATGCAAAAGTCACGCAGCTAAATAACGCATGCAGGTAAATAAAACACCGACGACAACGTGGCGTAATAAGGGGGAGGACATAGCCTGATGGCAGGTTATAGAGACTTCGGGTTATGCGCACAAAAAAAAAAATGACACAAGCCACACTTATCGCCCCACTACCGTAGGTTAGGACAAGAGTATTGGCAGAGCCTTTCTTATCTCCCCAGCGCCGCACTGGCTGGATCGGACAATGAAGATTAAGGCAAAGGTATGAGATGGCAAAAAACATGCAATGCCGAAAGCTTGGGGGAAGTCGCAACGCAAACTTAACCGCATCTTAACCGCATTACAAGGAGTGACCCGCTAAACTTTTATTGATACATAACACAACAAAAAAAAAGTGGTCAGTGCTCCCTGATAAAATTTGTTTGGTATCTTCTTCATATAACTAGTTATAACCAAAGGTTACGGAGTTCGGGCGACAATGATCAAAGTCAAAACGCTCTTGCTCCATTGCTGTGCTTTGCGTACGTTTCACGTGACAGATAGTCAAAACACGAGTGATCACGTTACGAATGATAGAAGGTCCAAACGCGCGTGATCAAATTGTGTTCTGTGCATTCCATTTATTCTTAATGGAGGTCTAAACGAATGCTGGCTACATACATGCGACGCGTGCGTAATAACAACCTGGAGATTAGGATTGCGGGCTCCTCTTGTCTTGAGTAACTACATTAAGAAATAATTTAACCTAAAACAGCAATATCCTGGTGACATAGCCCCTTCAACCTGTTCCAGTCTCACAGTTAGCTGGAACGTCGCAAAAGCTGAGGCCCGTGAAAATTAGAAGCGCGTAATCCGGGAAAAAATGAGAGTGGGTTTAATTGATGTGGCTTTCAGTGCAGGCTTTTTCTTTGGGGTGTGCGAGTATTCAAATTAGCCCTTCGAACTTTCTCCTTTCTGTCCTGCAAAGAAGGTTACGTTTCGTCTTCTTATATTTACCATTAAGTGCTTTAACAAGCAATAGCTAAAATTAGTAGTAGAAAAACAGCAAACTAGTCATATTTGAACATATTTTAACCTGGTTACAGAATTTCTAAGACTAAAATGTACATATAACCTTCATAAAACAATGGGTTAAAATTGTTCTATTAACTGTGAGAGCGGAAAATAATAACAACCAGAGGAGTATGTAGGTGGTAAAATAATATTCCAAAATGAAATGAGCTCCCAGAGTGTTAAAGGGTTATAAAGTCATGCGTAGAAGGTGTCGAAAGGTGGCTTCAGAATCAGAATTTAATCAGAATATATCTGCCAAAAAATGAGTGAGATTATTGATTATATTATTAGTGAAAAATAGTAAAGATCTATAAGCAAAAAAAAAAAGGGTTTTAGCTGGATGACCGGTCGTTTCGCTAACGTCTTATGTCGTTCCGCTAAGAAGCGAAGCGATCGCTGCGGCTGTACATACCTCGTTCTCGCAGCCGTGAAACAAAAAGGAGCGATACGCATGTACATACCTCGTTCTTTCAGCCACTGATCAGGCGAAAGTAGTTAGGGAACTGACCCAACACGCAAGCGAAACGAAACGTTAGCGAACAGGACGCTGGCGAAACGACCGTAAACCGTTAGCTGTAACCAAGTTATTGTATTATAAATTTTGATGGTGGAATTTCGTAAGAATTTTTATCTTCCGTCGTGCAAACTCTTTTATACAGCAAAGCTGTGCATTTTGCAGAGAATCTCTGCTACTATTCCCCAGTGAGTAGTATACCTGGTGCATTTTTCCATAAATTGTACTTGCAATAACCTATAGTTACGTAAATGCAATTATTGTATAGCATGTGAAATGGGCTTGATTGTTGCTGATCCAAACGCCCCCATTACGAGCAAGTTAATTTCAATGGTGTGTAACGGCTCGTTCTTTTCAAAGTAATTGAAAATCCTTCGTATTATTATTCCTTCTAGGTCGGGTAAAAAGGCTGTAAATAAGATTATTAAAGGGTTTTTATGTGTACTGTTATCTGCCCGTAATTGTTAGTATGACATTTAATGTTAGCTAGTGTTGCAGAAGCTTCAGTTTTAACTGATTTAGTTTTCAGTTTTTACTGTCTAGACCGGAAGCCTCCAAAGCAGACTTACTACAAATCGACCTCACGAGTTTGGCGAGCTGAGCGAGCTTTTTCAGGGCGTGAAACGGCCGACCGAGCGATCGGTCATCAAAAGGCTTCAAAATGAAAACGGCGTCCGAAAATATCGCAGGCGCGTGTGTTTGTAGCATGCGCATAGAGTTCCACTTACGTCACAACGTGTAATTCTATCGCTATCGTTTTCGAACGTTGTGGTGTGGACAGTCGAAAACGCATCTAAATGATAGTGTGGACGCGAATCGATCTATGCGTTTTCGATGACAAAAACGCATGCTTTTACCGCGCTTTTCAAAAACACGCGAACTCTGAAGTTCAGAAGCCAACTGACGTTAGCGTTTTTCGCTGCCGTCAATCATCTTAGCGGACCTCTTAGGAAACAGCTTTACTAAAACGGGTTCAAAGGCTGTGGTTTGTCATCTGTGATCCATTTTGTGTGAGTATTTCAAGGTTCGTTGCTTGTGATCGTAATTATGATTGACGGCAGCGAAAAACGCAACTGTGAAGACGGCTTTTGAACTTTAGAGTTCGCGTGTTTGTGAAAAGCGCAGTGAAAACACTTTTGTGTTGACAGGGCCTCAATAATTCTAACTGACTTAATTTTGTATGCGAAATAAAGTGAATCAGGATTATGAAAAAAAAAATGCCCCTTCTCTTAAGCAGGGTAGGGAAATGAACAATTTAATCTTAAACAGGGTCAGGGTTTGAAGGCTTCGGCGGCGCCCCACTTTCCAAACTTCCTTCAATTATGTGGCCCGGTCATACATGACATGAATAGCTGATTACCATTGTCCTTAACATGACAAGATTATTGTACGTACAATCTGCAGCTAGTCACTATCAAAGGCGTTGATTGGGACAATTCACCGTACGTTTTCGGCCAATCAGAAAAGAGAAAGTGAGTTCAATGTATAATAACCTGACGACATCAATTTTAACGTTCATTTTACACAACCCCGTTCCCATGGTTCTGGGCCCGTTTCTCAAAAGTCCCGGTAACTTTACGGGCCCGAAATCAAATATTCAAATCGAAATATAAAGAATAAGAGCGCGGGTCCTGGCTAGCAAACTAGTCCATTTTGTTTCATTAACTGACAATTTTATCGTGTTAGATGCAAAACTATTGAAAACTCGATCTTTAATGTAAACGGAGACAGCTTACCGGGCCCGTTAATTATCGGGACTTTCGAGAAACGGGCCCCTGTTCTACCCGTGCCTGTATCGCTCCGCAGGGATGGGTAGGAGAGGACCCTCGGAACGAGGTTGCATTTAACATCCAACTTTTCAAAACACGGCCTGAGTGACCACGATTCAAACCAAGAGGGCAGAGAAAAACGCAAGAAGAGCATGTAAAGTTTACCCAAAAATTCCAATAAAATATCGCACCACTTTCATCTTCATGCTAATTTCACATTCCGGCAAGTTTTCACGAATGCTTTCGCAGCGAAGTGAAAGACGGGGCAAGGAAGCAAAAGAAACGGAGAAGGTTTAAGTCGAGGGGTTATGGCACCTCCGTGCATTCCCGAACTTAGGAAGCTTTTATTTAGAGTCACGGACAAAAGACATTGTAATCTTAGAGGCTTTTGTTCTTGGGCCTTCTACCAGAAAACGGCTGGACTAGCTTTAAATGGTATTTTTGCCAGGGACGAATGGGTCCGCGGCAAAAAAATTTATTCTCGATTCAAGCGCGTCATTAGAGTGGTTTTCGTTTGAGTGTCGTAAAACCAAAACCAAAGTAATTACTCTGGCCAATCACATAGGACACAGACAATACATTGAACCAATCAAAACTCGAAGTAATTACATGTGGCTGACGCAAAAGCGTCACAATTGGCTTTGGTTTTACTTCTGATTGGATGAAAAGGTGGCGCGAATCTTTTAAGCCAATCGCATCGTGTAGAAAGTGCAAAACCAATTACTTTTCGACACTCAAATGAAAACCGCTCTAATCGGTATTTCGTTTTACTAGGTCGGGTCATGAAGGCTCTTAACATGTGTGCGCACAATCTCCTTCCAGGAGGCTGCGATCCTTTTGGTCAGCACTAAGGATCACTTACCAGAATCCGTAAGAAACACAACCCTGATTGGCTCCGACTCGTCCCCAGTCAACTCTTACCTCTCTGCTGTGGCGCGCAGGCCCATTCTTCGGCGGCCGTGCGCGTTACAAAGACCTCTATAGACGACTGATAAGAACGTCACAAAAATTGTGGTTCCGGTTCTGGAAAATGAACTAGGATGTTGTTGTTCCGGTTTCGGAAGATGAGAACCCTGGCTCTGGGACGAGATTAGCAAGTCCACGAATCACGGACTTCCAGCCAGGCTTTTGAAACGATAACCGTTACCAACGGTTACATTCTCGTTCCCAGAGTTGGCGTTACCCTTGTCCGACGGAACTACCAACAGGGACGGTACTATAGTAATCATATATGAAGTACTAGCCAAGGGGACTCTGAAACGAGATTGTGGACATGGAAGGTATAGGCCATATTCTCGATGACGACATTTGACTACAACTACCAGAATTTATTTCGTTTTTGCTTTTTTATTCAACTTTAATTTATCAATCCCTCTGAGCCCTAATTTGCACAAGAAAACAACACTGAAGGATTCGGGTAGTTGTAATAAAATGACGTCAAGTGCAATTGTCCTATTTTGCTCGCGTGTTATCTTTGCTGGTTCCTGATCCCTGGCGCTGGCCAAAAAGATCGTAGCTCTGGGAACTTACCCTATTTTTTCAACAAGAAAGTAGCGTCCGCATCCAGAAAGGGAAGTGGCGAGAACTATGATATTTGCAAACAAGTCAAAACTTGAGTTTTAAGATATTCCCTCTTTAGTAAAATCCAACTAGTGGTCTATTATCAACGCGGCGTTCTGATTGGTTGAGCTACTATTAGGCTATAAGTTATAGCCCACTAATAGCGAAAAGCGCCGGCTTTTTGGCGGCAAAGAAGGAAAAAAGTCTAGCTTTAACTAGCTAGCGATATTATTGACCAACTAGTTGGATTTTACTAAAACAATAATTCCTCTCGCCCTCATTACCTCTGAGTCAATAGCCCATTCGGCCTTCAGCCTCATGGGCTATTGACTCAGAGCCCATTCGGGCTCGAGGAATAATTGTTAAATAAATAAAGTCTTCTAGGAATAAAACCTTGTCAGATCGTTTAGACATCGTAAGACCAGAAGGATCAGTGAATGCAGTTAAACATTAACAGGGTTTAACATAAGTGTTGAGGAAACCTTAAGTTCGAAACCAAAATCTGCATTTTTCTCTGCGGCTGACAAATCGAATTCATCTGCTTTCCCTCCAACAATCAAACCACTCTAACAAAGGCAACTGAGGCAAAGCGAGAAAGCTGATTACAAAAGTTCCAGGGGTTTAGGTATTGTTGAGAATTCTAGATAGGATTCGAAATGTATTTATCATAGGTTATGTAACCTTTTCTTTGGGGTGTTACATGTTATGCTGTTCTGTTGCTTCATTAGCGGTACGCTATATATATTTGAGTTTGTCTCATTTATATTCATTCGCGTCTTACGACCGTCCCTACGCCCTCAAAATTAAATACCCAGTGATCAGGGGTTTCTCTTAGACGTAGTTTTTTGAATGCTGCTATATGAAAAGTTTAGCACGTTTTGTATGTTTACTGAATCATTGTTATACGAGCATAGTTTAGATCATTTTGTTGGGTTGTTTTTCTTGCTGTAATTTTTTACATTCCCGAGTTTTCATTCTGTTTGTTGTATTATTTCCATCCATTCTGTTGATGAAGGCATAATAAAGAGGGTCGCACACGGCTCGTGTTGACACACCCCAATTGAGGTTGCTTGTTACATGATAAATGTTTTATATTCGTTTGAGCGGGGTAGCGAATTAGAATATAAAGACGTTTGGTATCGCCGAGACTGTGATAACGACATGCCCACGAAATTATTCTGGTAAGGCTGAGTGAATTTTAAGTAGAAAGATATTTTAGGACCAAGGGAACTGTCTGTATCTATCGCGTTGGGAATCCTGTGTACTTTGGTGCTTTGTAACCATGACAACAAAAAACCCACGTCATGTGACCGTATGATGCAGGTGCACATAAGAAGAGATTGGAAACTGCCCCTACCCCTCTCCTAAGCCAACATGTTGCCCTTAGTGAGAAATTAGTGCTAATGTTGGCTTAGGGGAGGAGTAGGTGAGGAGTTTCCCAGGAACCTAAATTCAAAAGATTGAAGCAACCAAAAAGTGAAAATTTTTCCAAGTTTATTTTAAAAACAATCATTTTTTTTGTCTTATACAAAATATACTCTAACACACTAAAATGTTATTTTAATGACCTATGAAAACTCGGCAGCCAGTGCACGCAATCATAAACGTGATTATCTACAAGGATAAATTGTATGGCTTGAAACAAACGTGGAATGTTCAGTTGTAATAAAGATGTATTTAACGACGAAAATTTCTAATAGTCACACCTGTATAAAAGGTTGATAAATTTGTTAAACTTGATTTGGTTGACCGGAACCGTAGCATTTGCCTGAAAGAGCACCTTTAAATTGGCGAAGCAATATGCCTGAAGCAATATTTGTCTTTATTATCTTTTTACTGTTGTGGCCTTCTGTTTATCTGCAAACAGGCGTTCCCTTTTCCCGGGACCGCGAAAGTCAGCGGCGCGCTCTCGAAAACAGAACGCCTAAACCAGGGACGCACAACACGAGTGGAAATCGAACACACATCGCACGCAGGTTAAAATATCCTGCAACAGATTGTGCACCCAACGACGAAAAACTATCCTAATTCGTGAGTTTATTATTCTTTGAAATCAGAGTGCATGACCGACAATGTCGTAACGAATCGAAGATTATTTTTAATCGTTATTTAGACACGTCCTCGACCTGTGAAAAATGAATTTTGGAGAAGGAGCCATACCTACATGTATAAGTACAAATGCATAATTTTAAAAAAACTGTTTATAACCATGCAAACACAGCGAATATAGCGTCACCACCCCTACTTGACGACAAAAACACGAAAGGGCGGGAAGACATACTACTTCTTGGTAGAAAACACAAGGAGCTTTTATCACGAACGAAAATCACATGGAGCCTATTTTGACTACCTAAACCCCTGAATGGTTCCAAAATGAACTCATTCAGAGTTGAGAATTTGGCAAAACAATATGAAGGTCAAAAGACGGGTCCATAGCCTCAACCCTGTCACCCCTAAAAGAATTCAAATTTCTCTTTGTAAAATCCCTAGAAATAAATAGTACTATGAAAAAGTGCTGACAAAGATGTTTCATTTGAATGGTAACATACGATTTGGTCCACAGATTTAAAAGTTGAAGTGACAGATAATCTCTCCATGGCTTGGTTTAGGGGTGACAGGGCTTTAAAATCTGACTCAGCCCCGTTTTAGTTTTCACACGAATGTCAGTCTCATGGAAAACCACTGAAGGCGCAAGGACTAATTAACCCTTTCAGTCCCAAGAGTGATCAACATCAATTTTCTCCTAAGATGATCAATACACAATCAAGAGAAAGGGTCATGAGAATTAATAAAATAATCACGAAAGCCGGAAAATGCTCTGATCTTTTATCAAATTCTCCCAACTGATTCAGTAAGGAAACGCATAGAGATCAGTTGGGAGAATTTGTATGCACATACTGGGGCTTAAAGGGTTAACTACTGCCTTTGGTGAAACTAGGAATGAAGTGATTCCTTGTCATTATTAATATACTGTTTGGTCCGTTAATGAGAAGTAAGCAAGTGATCCAGTACTATATTACAGTTTTGTAACAAAAGCGTATTATAAGATAGTAAATATGAAACCTTCAATATATATAATGACGCAAAAATAGTTGATTCTTTGGTTAAAATGGACCGCTAACAAGTTGATTTAGACAACGCCCCTGAGGTGTTGTTTTTTAAAGTTTTTCTTTCAGTATTTTAACATAATAATAAACATTTTCCTCCCTTGAACATGAGAAATGACCCTTCCAGACAAGAGAAATCTCTTGTACAGAATTCGCTGCCTGGGAACCACTTCTCTACAGTTTTTAAGACCTATTGCTATTGAAAAGTTATCCCAAACAAATTCTGAACCTGACTGTACATCTACTAATTACAGTACAGATATCTGAATATGTTTGAGAAAATAGAATCAAGCTTGGACATCAGGGAATTCATCTTCTGCTTACAAGGCTGGTTTGATTGCCTGAACCAGCAGCAATCCGACTCGCACGGAAGAGTTGGAAGTTCTTCGCGTAAAGTTAGACTGCGAGCAGTCTCTTATTTTTCTTTTGAGTCACAATAGATCGAGAACGCGCGACAGGGGCGAGCGCGCGTGAAGAGGGCGGAAGGCCGAGCAAAGAATGAAAAAGCTACGGTCGTCCTTTTTCCTCTCTCCGCCCCAATTTCATTAATTTGCATAACTTTCCTTCTTCGCTCACCGCGCGGGACTCTTGGGTAAACAAGAGAGATCGCTTGCGGTCTACGTAAAGTCGTCATCCGTCACTAAAAAGTGAAAAGATATGTCTCACTTCAACAAAAACGAAACCCTTCAACTCAGATTTTCCTCCTCAAATATAAATATGGTTTATAAAGAGGAAGAGGCAATCTAATAGTCGAGTAGTTTCCTTCCTGTCGACGAAGAACTGCCGATTCGCTCTTTTCAACCAAGATATTACTTATTTGACTACACCGCGGCTTGATACGTTGACCTGGGTTCCCAACAGTACCCGGATTTGACGGTTGTTCGAGATGATTCACTGATGTCTCTAGCAAGTTGAAAATTATCGTTTTTAAGTCCAAACTAGAAAAACATTTTGCACATCTAACAGACCAAGGTCAGCCATCCTTCTTCATGAAGCTGAAGTTACACTCTCTCATAGTGTCTGGGGCAAACTTGTAAATCAGCCGCTGACCGGGCACCCGCTCTAGAATCTTCCTTTCATAGTAATACCGCAAAGCACGACTCATCTTCTCATAATTCATGTTTCGGCGGTTCTTCCGCTGACCCCAAAGCTTAGCCACTGCGCCCGAGTTCACCAGTCGGAAGATTCCTTCCTCTCGCTCTATCCAAGTGATGTATCGCGGGCACGTCTCCTTGTTTTCCAAAAGCTCCTTGAGAAATTCCCACAAGTGCAGGGATCTTGTTTCTGAAACGAAAAGAGATGACATGTAGTAAGCTTCTGGGGTTTAAATAACCATCTAAAAACTGGCAGTTTTCATAAGCATTGTGCGGCTTGGCAGCAGAATAGAAAAGAAAACTACAGTCAGCTGTCTTTGAGACGAACACCGTTGGGAACTTTTCCAAGTCTCTACCTGATCCAGGTGACTATGCCGAGGAGAGAGTTAACCATAGCATTTTTTTTAGTGTAATTCTAAAACGAATAGGAAAAGTTTCGTGACATTTTACAAGCGTGTGCACGATTGAAAGTAAGATCATTTTAATCACTTACGCTTTCTTCGGCCAACGCGAGGTTTTCCACTTGGTGAACCGGAACTCTTCGGCGAGGAAGACTCGCTCCGGCTGTGGTTTCCTGGACGAATAAGGACTTCAATTAGCAAAAGCTGTACATTAGAAGTCAGCAAAAGTACTGAAGATAACTATTCTCACTGAAACACAGGAGGTGTGCCACAAATGAACCTGGCAAATGGCTTGACTCGCCACGAGTCTCTCCATGGTAAGTGAACCACTCCAGAGAGTGGTTTCAGTTCGTGTAAACGGAAGGTTTAGTGTAAAAAAATAAGCGGTTTCAAAAATATCCGTATTCGTCCCGTGTGAAGGTGGCCTGATTGCAAGACGAGGTAAGACAAACAGTGGCACAACATTCCTTTGGAACAATCAAATTTCAATGTGAAATCAAATTAATTAACATGTTACAATGTTCCTCAACTTACCATCCTTCCCCTCTTCTGTACCGGAGTCCGTTGAACTGGTGCTGTTCCTTCTACGCGTCATAGGAGAATCGCAGCCTCTCTGAGAGGGTGAGGCCGAATGTACATAGGGGGATGCCGGTGGTGACGGAGACATTCTCTCTTCTTTATAATCCACATCACTGTCTGGACAAGATTTTGGTGAAAGATTCGCAGGGAAAGGCACCTGAGATTCGCCTGGTGATGCTCTCAAAGGTGGGGGCACGCCGCCATTAACTGCCATCTTACTGTGCTTGGAATGCACATCAAAATCTAGTTTGGGTTTCTTGGCATCCGGGGGAGAAAAACCGTTTGTAGCAGGAGTTCCTGCAGAGAACGGCTCATCGTAAAGCCCACCACGCGTCATGCGCTCTTCCTTCTTGGATGGTGACGATGAAACGTCAAACAACGCATCGTTTTTGGCGAATAAGCTCGCCGCAAACGAAAGCGTCTGCAGTGGGGTTTGTGGGAAGTTCTCCATGGGACTTGTCGGAGAGGGCAGATCGGGAGACTTGATCAGCGGCGGAACCGGTGGGAGGTCTCGATTTCGTTGCAAATCCATGGGCCCCCTCTGGGGAAGCCGGGGGTGAGGAAAGCCATTTACCGGTGGGGGAACGCAGGGTGGAAAACAGCCGTTTGGCGGCCACAAACGGGAAGCACAGAATCCATTGGCTGTGGGATTTTGCTGAGTAGCAGAATGCAGAGGTAGATCTCTGGGGATGTTCAACGGGCGAACTGATGGATAAAACAAGGTGCACTGTTAACTCTTTAAGCCCTAACATCTACATACAAATTCATCATACTAATCACCATAAATTTCCTTCAAAACGTTGTTGAGAGAATTTGATAAAAGATCAAAGATTTTTCTCTTTGTGATTATTTTATAAATTCTCATAGACTTTGCTCTTGACAATATGGATATTGTTAAGAGAAGATTGCTGTTGGTCACCATTGGGACTTAAAGGGTTAATGCAAGGCGCAAAACCTTGGCTTATTATTTTTAAATATCAAATGATTAAGAAATTCGGTTCTTGGGATTTGATTTTCTTGAAACGACGTTCAGGCCGCCAAGTCAGATACGGCGGCTGTACCCATTTCGCTATGGATTAAACAGTGACTGGTTTGAACGGCCATTTTCAGTATGTTCGTTTAAGTCAAAAGAGAGCCTTAGATTCTAAGACGAGAGCGACTACAAGTACGAGATTTTCCAAATACTAAGTAGTGCTCGCGCGTAAACCAGCGTCATTTTGGCGGGAAAATGTGATAGTCGTCATTCTACTACGAGTTCTCGCAAGAACGTCGTAGAGGCGGAAACAAGTTATCAAATGTTAGAAGTTTTATCATTTTGCGATCGGGAGAGGACTGAACCTCCTTCAATAAAGCTAACAGTGCTAACTTTTCTGGAGAAAACAAAGTACAATGAAGCTTTCCGGGGTGTCTCAGTATTATTTGAGAAGGTTAAAGAAGAGAAAGTTAAATCTCGTACTCGTAGTCATTCTCGTCCTCGAATCTAAAGGTCTCTAAACAGTTTTGTATTGTATCAACCTTGTCACTATGACGAGGAAAGAACAAACTAAACTAAAAAAAGACGCAGAAAAAAAATACTACTTACTCGGCTGGGGCCTGGGCAAGGGACCACGAGCGCCTGTCGCCGTCACGTGACTCTTGGAGGGAGCTAAAAAGGTAAGAGTAAAAAAAATAATGTAATGGCGGTATCTCAAAGTTTTGAATCTTTGGATGTAATCTCTGGTTCCAACTATTCCGCAGTGCTTCCCGAAGAGACTGGTCATTTTTAATTAGCCCCAAGTCAGGGAAATGATCAGTTCAATTAACCCACAAGGACAGCCATTAACAAAGATAATAAAATTAAACCCGAGAGAGAACTGAATAACAACACATGCATTAGCAGCGGGCGCCCCTCCCACAGACGCTTCTCGATTCTTGCGTGTCCTTGCCCAGGATAATGTTAATTACCTTCCTCGGGGGCAGCTTTAAACAAATAAGTCTTCAGATGCGTTAGTTTTAGTCGCTCTGACCTCAAAGTTGTTATTTCCATTGAATCTAGTTTGGGTGCACAGTGGGATGATTTTCTGCGGTGTGTTGTTTTTGAATTATCTCTTGTTTAACTATCTTCTTTCTCATCCGTCGGAAAGGTTTCCAGTGCGGATAAAAATCTTGTCAAATCGACGAAAAGCTCAAAATAGTAGTCTGAATTGTGAAAAGTTTTTAACATAAACGAGATAAAAATATTAGACAATGGAGAAATATGATAATATGCTCAGTACTAAGAATTTGTATAAGGGTCTAATTTGAATCTGAAAGAAATTTCTTGTAGATGTAATTAAGATTCTGCTATTAATTTGCAAGCGTACATTCTACAATCTTCTCGAAAAAAATAGTTGTTAACGCTGCGATAACGCCAAACAATCACCTGTTTCACCTGAAAAACTAGAAGGCTTGGAGAATAAACAGCTAATTGCTTTTTTCAATTTCGCGTTTTAGTTAACTTATGGCTAATTAATATTAATCAATTTACTGCTAATATTTTTTTTCAATTTACCCATTACCGAATGAGGAAATTGATAGCACAGCTCATAGTATGTCAGGATAATTATAGACTTACCGAAGGCACTGTTTTGTGAGCTGAGCGATGGGACTGACACGTCCTCTTCGTCGCTTTCACTATTGCCTAAAGATAGGTTAAGAAGATAGGTTAAGAAGATAGCAAAGGGAAGCAAGTATCTGAGTATTTCGGGTTGAGTTACCACGTAAAAAAACTAGCGCTTAGTCCATCTTAGTTGACAGTGGAATTCCTACGGCTCATATACGGAAGTTTTAATATCATTATAAATTGTAAATATAAATAACGAGATAAAAATATCCCAGTTAACACAAAGAGCCTACGAAGAGGTTAACATTCCTTCTAGAACCACAGTCTTTAGAAAATTACCAATGTGTATCGAAGTTTCACAAAAAACACGACAATTTTGCGACGTTGCGATTCACCTGCAACCCCGAGGTTATTTAAAACCTATCTTAGTGTCTTTCTTTCATTATTCCAATACAGTATCACAAGCAAAAGCGCCAAAATGTCGGAAGCCTATACTTTTGTACGACTGCTTCTTCACCTTGGGCCGATATCACGAACATTCACACAAATCTGCAAATTTTGAACAACTACATACTTTAGCAAATAATTTCTTTCACGAAAATCACGCACTTTCGGCCAGTTGCCCCTGGGTCTATAAGGATATGAATTGAGTGAAACACTACACCTTACGCTTTTTGTCTTCCATTTAAGCTCCAGAAAAGTGATTGCAAGGTCTCACAAAATAATCCCTAAAAACTTTAAAGTCTCTCCATATTTAAGACACAATTTTACGAACGCCTTTCTTTTCTTTACTACCCACCGAAAGGTCCTTCCATCGCTGTCGCAGGAAATCGATTTAACTGTTAATTTTTTTGTTTTATTTTTTTAATATCAGCATAAGTGTACACGCTACGTTCAAGCTACGCCGGGTTGGTCTGAACAAAATGCATTTAACATGTAATTTAATGGCGTTTTCCAGTGTCCATAGATTTCTTCTTCACAGTAAACGTTGAGACTTTCCTGTATTCTATGCGGGTGAAAGGCTTTCCGATATAAATTCGGATTTGTGTTACTTTTTATCGATGGTTTTGGGTGTCAGTGATGAGTCGACGGTGGGAGCTGTATGTGACTTACTGTCACGCAAAGCTCTAATTCGTGAGTGTCACGCGGGAGTTGTTTAGCTCGCTTATGAAATCGATTTTCATGCGCTTATCTCGTGACTTCTGCAATACCACTCACATCACATCGTCGGTAACTATCTGAAAATACATTTATTAAATGCACGAAAAGCCTTCCAATGAACTGATGAGTTGACAATAAAGGGACATTAGCCATTCACAAAACTCTCTGAAATGCCGCTTGAACAAATATTTTTGGCCGAAGAAAAATCTATGAAGCTGCAATGAAATTTTCCTTCCTCGACTTTCCCCTCGAATCTACTTCCGCGTTTTTCACTTTTAATATCTGCTATTAGATTCTCGAGGAAGAAACGGGGAAAAAAAATTGTTGTGGTAAGCATCAAAGAAACCGCCGTCGACAAATTTGAAGTTTGAAGGTGAATAAATACTATGGCAGATTGGCATTTTTTCAAACATTAATCTTCATTGATTATTATTATTTTTGAAGCTCGCTTCTGTAAAGTTTATTTTCAGGACAAACAATGAAAGTTCTGATAAAACTCGAACACCACTATATCAAGCATAGCCTGCCTCCACAGACCTCAGTTTAAAATTTAATTTTACAACTGAACATTCTATTTTCAAGGACATTTGAAAAATTGGAGTAAAAATATAGTCTTTGGAAATAACAAGATTTGGCCTGCCACACTTATCTTAGTTAGTAAGCAGATGTTAATTCTGCGATTCCTAAACAGAATAATCTGCCCCAAGATAGGCGCTCACAGTTTCTGGAAATGTTATGTTTTGACTTTGTTCTCATTACTGTTCTTGCACTTTCTACTCTTGATCTTTACCAATTAAAAAAAAACACCAGCAAAATGTGAACAATTTGCCTTCTCCAAAGAATCTTTACAAAACCCAAATAGGGTAGTCTTATTGAGAAGTATCCCAAAACACTACCACCCACTGTGAACTCAATTTTTTTTTCATAATGATATATCTTTAAAAAACATACAGTTTCAGGCAATACTTAACTTTACAAACTTAAAGTTCGAACTCCCCTTGCATCACAACCAAAAAATATTCTCTGGAAAAGAAAGCTACTTTACCATGGAAACTAGCTCCTCAAGTGAGGACCCAGCACCTTTGTAATGCAAAAATTGCTTTTGATAAATGCTAAACTTTTTTCTCTTTGTATAACGGTCTTAAAAACCGTTTAATATGCAAGACCCTTTGTTTCAACCAAAAATAGCCTTTGTCAGAAAAAATCTTCATTACAACAGATATAGGACTAGGCAATAAATTATGTGCAAGGCAAATGTACTTCCTCCAGGCACTTTTCCAGTTTTAGGAGCACGAGGATATACTTTTTTTTCCCAGAAAGCCTGGAATTTAACAGGAAGACATTTCTGGAAAGGAGCCATGTTTTCAATGAGACAGATATTTAAGAACTTTCAGGAAATTCTAACCCCAACCTTTAGTTGAAACCTGACAAAATACAGTGCGTCCTATATCAGCGAGGAAATAGATGTTATATACAACACGGAAACCTTACTGAGTTTACTTCAGCGAAGTCTTTTAATTTGTTTGTTTGCCGCTGTTAAGTCTACAGTGCAGCATTAGATACGCATTGAAACGAGTCGTAAATTTTTTATGACCTTAAAATTTCTTTTCCTGAATTTTGAATAACTCAGAGGGGCTTGCAAAATTATGTTTGCTCTGTCAACTTCAACATGTTCTAATATCAGGAACATTATTTGGATTACTTCCACTGAACAAAGGAGAAACCTGCCGTATTTTTTATTTTGGGTTGTATTTCTTTATTACAAGTTTCGACGATTAAGTAATAGCTTGGCTATACAACACAAAAGGAAGTGTTCAATGCTTATGTCTTGTGAAGTGAGCGTTCGTCAACTTGTGTAATTAATAGTGCTTGTCAACGCTGTGTGTATAGTGAATTACATTGCTAGCAGGCATAGCCCATTAACAAAAATCACTCATAAAAATACAACACTGATTAATGATTATTCCTACAGCAAAAACTTGAAAATTCTGTGAAAGCACAATTCAATTTACAAGCAAAGCGATTGGGAATAAGGCCATATCATCGCACGTATATTTCCTCCTAAACCTTTCCACAGTAAAAACAAAAACAACGCGAAAAATATTTCGCTTGAACGAAATATTAGCTGGGTATTCAATTTATTTCCTTGAAATTATGACGATATGCTTAGTAACTTAGGAACAGGAAAAGACAAACAGGGGACCGTTCAATAATTACACACCAAGGAAGGATAACTTATCTCTTTTGTGGTTAAAACACAAAGAAATTTTCAAATACCCTTCGCGAAAACAACTGAAGTCAGTTAACTACGATCATTTAACCATAATGAACATGTCTAACCTTAAGCAAACAAAGAGCGCTATGCTTTTAATACGCTCCCGGAAGAAACTTGGAGAGAGCTGTTTTTGCTCCCGGAAATATTAAACCTTGACTCTGAGCGCTGACTCAAAGCTACGTGACAAATAATTTTTTTTTTCTTTGAACAGCCATCCTACCTTGATCATCCCTTTCTGGTACAGAAGAGTCATCATTTGTAAGATTCATTTCGTCTGAAAGATGAAAGAAAAGGAATTAAACCTGGGATTGTCCACCAAATTCACAACAAAATTATTTATGTGCGTGCTTTAGTTCATTTCAATGCCGAGTGAGTGGAAACCATAGCGCCCCGCAACGCGGAAAGCAATGGCAGGCATTCAGAATAAAATCGTGAAGCTGGTTATGTTACATAAGACCGTTGTAAAACTTCTCTGTATGAATAAAAATCGGTATTTTAGCTAAGTTTCAAACGCTATAAGACGCGAGCTGCAGAGCAGAGTCGCGTAATAATAACTCGACAGAAAATATGTCGAGATGATCTATCTTCTGGTATGTTTTGCCAATACAGACCGCCCGACACAGAAACTTTCAACACATATTCACAAACGTATAGTGCCCTAATTCGTCGCTTAAGTTTCATCTTAGAAGATTATTAGCCCTTAAGAAACAATGAAGGCTTTTGTATCATTCACTTTTTGAATCCCCTTAGAGTAGACGGTAAAAATAGCGATAGATGGCTCTGGCTACTCGATTCGCCCGCTTTGCATCTTCGCTGGATATGGCGCGTCAGCGGCGCGGAAACGAACAACTTTGCTGGTTTCATTCGTTGTAAGACCGTACAAATGGGCTTCTGTGCGGCTACATAAACAAAAGAGTTTTAGTAAAGTCTTAGGTTCGTCAGTTGGAGCTAAAATCATTCGTAATGTGTGAAAGGCAAGAGCTGAAAAAGGCGAAATCGATGAGGAAGCAAAGGAGCTTGGTTGGTAAAAATTACACCACAAACTCACGTCTCGTTCGTCTCGGCTTCCAAGATGTAATCCTAACGGCAGACAATGATTCCGAAGCAAGAAAAGCGCGAACAGCTAGCTTTAAGTTATAATTCTAACCTTAACACTTTTATCAAACTAAAGTAATGAACGGCGGCCAACAGTAAATATATCATAAAAGTTCAAATTATCGTACGACCAGTTCACGCAAACAATCGTAGCTAATACTCGCAAAAACATCACTCAAATCGGCTCAATTTACCTCTTCGTCGTCGCCTTTTCTTTTTCTCCTTGCTAAATATTCTCAAAGAACAGTAATAAGGCATTTCCAGATTTTGAATAGCTAGCGGAAAGGTCGCCTGTTAGTAACTCAACTTGCAGGAGCAAACCACGGAACCACCGATAAATATGCTGCAGATTATAACTGAAAACTCACACAGGGGAGGGGGAGAGAGTTGTCAAACATTACATTAGCCTGTCTTTCCCTAATTAGAATCGTTCGGCTTAGGTATCACGACTTCTAAGAAGAATTTAAAAGTATATAAGTTCGTAATGGAAAAATCTGATGGCTTATCTGAAAATTAGGAAGAGAAACAGGTATAGTAACAAATTAGCCAAAGTACTACCCCGTCAGGAGTTCGAGCGCTTATGAGATTCAATTTCACGTTTTGCCTATTTACGTAGCAAGACATTCAAGACAGATTATTTGCATTTTTAAATAAGCAAGCTGTAATTTGTATCGCCCGAGTAATTTGGTTTCAAAAGCGAATTTTTCGCAATTTCCAATCGATCACTGGTTATAGTCATGGCCAATACAATAAAGTACGAATATCAGAAAGTGTCCGTGATAGAGAATAGCGATTCACAAGACACTAAATCCACTACACCCGGAAGTGTGTCACAAAGCACAGAGTTGCGCGCTCCAGTATCCTTGCGGAAACAAAGGAATGTTGTTCTGCTTGTTTGTTACAGCTGAACTTTAATTTTGCATTACTGCCGATTCTGGGCAGGAAGAGAACGGCTGCGTGCATTTGAGCGGCTGAAAAACCTTCGCAGAGTGTATTCGAGGTACTATTCAAGAAGCCGCTCGAATTTTTTTGCATTTATTTCCTTTGCAAAGATTGTAGATGTGATTGAAATCAACCTGGGCGCGTCAGGTACACCCACGCCCCAACACAGTTCGGCCTGTTAGGGTCACGTGGTTTCCACTGGCGTGATCTACGTGCAGTTATCGATGAGGAAATTAAGTCATGCGGAAACTGATGCTTTTTATTTTTTAAAAATTATAATAAAAGAGATTGTTTTCAGCGATTTAGTCATCCAACTTTGACAAACGATTTTATCGAGAAACAATTTAACACATTTACTATTTTTGTTCCATCACAAGGAGCTTCTTTAATACTGAATAATACGTCCCGATCCACATCGTTTATTCTAACTTTTGATCAAAGTTCAATAGTCTCTTATCTTTGTATCCGGAGGCGCGTGTGTATCTTAGTTTTGTTTTACGCTGGATAGAACAGATGATAGCCACGAGGAAGCTGAGAAAACCTTCACTATATTCTAGTTTTTGCATTGCGGAAAGATGTAGAATTAAGGCTCAATTAAACAAGGAATTTGAAATATCTTTATGCTTTGTTTCCTGCAAAAATGTGACCTTTAAAAATACGCCACTGTCAAATAACATAAAAATGATGAAATAATTGCGGGGGATGCTCGTCTTGACGTCAAAATCATCATTCTGGAATTTTTCACTGCTGTCTGAACTTGATCACTTTGTTTATCTGACTATCACTGTAATTGAAAATGGTTGTAAAAGCTTTCCGTGAAGTAAAAACATTGGCTATGCAGAATTCTGCTTCGGTAAAACAATCAAACGGACCTCGCGAAAAAACTAATTAAATATGAAACACGGGTGATAACTAAGCAAGTTCTCGCGATACACCCTCGTAGACGAGTGTACGTAACTACGTGGGTATTACAGACACCCATTTTGAAGTTCTAAGACCAGTCTCAAAACTTTTGATATTACCCAGTGGACTAAATGACCCTATTTACACAGAATTACCATTTTCCTTAGATTAAGTCTAAAACAGTAACTTGCGAGAATTTCATCTCACTCCTATATCACCGTTAAAATTCTCCGCTACGGATTTAATAGTGGACATTGTAACTGACTTCCTCAGAGTTTGCATTCAGGTTATTCGATAGTTTAAGATGGGTCTGTGGAAACGTTTCTATGAGAAAGATGATGATTGTACTTGAATGATTACATAAAGAACAGGGGTCATTGACCACATCGGTAGTGATCTTATGATCGGTTGGATAAAAGCACGTACCTAATGCCAAAATTAAGGGTGTTTTCCGCAAGCTATGTTGTAGCCATGGCAACTTGAAATTTCGAAAGTTCTTTCACCAGCAAAGTTGTTTGATGCTATTATTTTAGCGTTGTTGCTATTGTCAGCATCAACGAAAAACAGACTGCTTTAAGAAAATCAATGGAAGCAAGAGCCATAATGGACTTGAATTGAAGGTAAAACTCAACGATGGTTATGCTGAATGACCGAGCTTTCTTTGACTCCATGTCATCCGTTTTCAATCGCGTAGATCTTATTTTCATGGCCTGCGAGATGAGCATTCGCCTATTTCGGCTTTTGTTTCACACGCCGCTGATTTTTGTTCTAACTTCCTTCAAACAGTTGTAGTATTGACCCTCTGATTTAGAAAGGACCGAAGACAGACGATTGCAAATCTTCCCACGACCAAAGGGTCTCACTCTCAAAAGCGGGTGATTGTTTGCACGATCGCAGTGCGTAAGGCAAGTTAAGTAATGTTGGCTTCCTTTTTATCTGTTTGAAAAATTCAAAACGACGACTGTACTAGTCAAGTTCTTTCAATGATCCGGCAGTAATACATAAAACGGGAAAATGTGAACGAACGTTTCCCGACGCAACGCAAATTTCCGGTCATGTTCAACGCAGTATTCGGTCATTATTCGCAACCGGCCAAACTTCGTTATGTCAATTTTTCTTTTAGGTAACAGGATACCTTATCTGCAAAAAAGAGTCGAGGGTTTTTTACTTCCTCTTTATTTTATAAAACCGCCGATTGTCCTGCCTAATGTCGGAAAACCTGGGCTGGAAACCGACAGGAAACAGCCTATCTTCGTGGCTTCAGTCTGATGATGAAAACCATAAAATCGTTTTTCTTAATGAAGGCCTGATTTCTCCACTGTTGCTGCAAATACAGCTTACAGTCCGTATAAAAAGACCGGCTTCTACTAAGTTTTTTGGGTGTCACGTGGGACTGAACTGGAATGAGCACGTTTTCTTCAAAGGCGCATTTTGGATGTGAAATGTCCAATTACGGTCAAAAATCAAGGTTTTTGAGAAATATATGAGGCCAATTTGATTTATATACTGCCAACTTGTGTGAATTACGCAATTTTCAATTGCAATCGGTTATTTCAGTTATACGTTTGTTGGTAACAAGTCCTTCTTTTAGTCCTTTCAAAGGAATCTGATTCCTACATTTTCATTTGGGATCGTTGAGTGTTTGCTAACTGTTCTAGATTGAACTAAAAAAATTATCTTAACTGAAACTTTAAACGGGGCTCTCAACTGACAAACCCAAACAAATATTTAAACTTTACTCACCATCAAAGGGGGATGCCTTGAAAATTTCTGAAAAGCAAAACATCTTTATTACGAAAAGAAGATAACCAAACCAATCTTACCCTAACCCTAGTAAAACTAAACGCCGTAAGGAATTGGAAATAATATTCATCATCAAGTGCCATGTACTAGTAGTAGATCGATGATTAAACTATGGGTATATACAAGGTGGGGTCCCTATCCCTTCCATGGTGGCTGGCCACTGGTCTCTATTGTAAAGACAGTGCTATATAAATGTGCCAGGCATCTTGCTGTCATGCCTTTCGAGCCATTGACCTTTGTACCGGTTCATCTGCCTCTTTTGCAAATCATATTAACGATGCTATAAAACTCGGTATAAAACTATGTGTATAGACTGTTTCTCACCTTCCATAGGAAGTTCATCAAGGGCAAAAGCTAGGGGATCTAACAATAAAAGAACAACACACTATGTTAGTCTTTGATTGTTAAATCATCGGTTTTCATAGGTTAGTATCATGGTTAGTTTTGCTTAAAAATGAATTGTTTTCGAAGTGGATCCTCATTTTAAACATGGCCTGGAAGAGTATTGCCGGAATCCGGGATTTGGCCAAAACACAGTGTAGGATTCGAGAAACGTTAACGGGATACGGGATTTGACTGCTACCCAGGAAGCGGGATTTGCGAAAATTTGGGCACGGCTTCGGTATTGGGAAAGAAAACGATATCCGGGATAGCGATGACAGAAGTGCGGGATGCTGGATTCTAGTCTCGGAAAAAGAGGCGGGAATACGGGATTTAGACCCTGGAGACGGGAAATACCTGTCATCTCGCTTGGGGGAGCATACCTGTCTGTTTGAGTCCATCATTCACTCCGAACAAAATGAGAGCCTGAATGCCGGTTAAGTAGTATTTGTTTTAGAAAAGCGATAAATGGTTTCACAGGATGAACTAGCAGGAACTATGATTTCAAGAATATACTGAGTGGTTCAAAGCTCTCTTTTCTGTGGGCTCCTGCTCAACAATAATCTATCCGGGAACGATAAACTTAACCACAATTATGCACTGAAGCACACACTACCAACTCCGCGGTATGGCCATTACCTTACGCATGCGCACAACCATATCACCCCGACAGTGGCAGCCATGATATGGACAGCTGTTTCGTCCTTGTTAGGACTCATCAGCATGGCATAGACAGATACCTGATCCCCTGCTTATAAAGAGACTGGGTAGGGTAGGGTCGGGTAAGGTAGTATAGGGTAGGGTAGGGTAGGGTAGGGTAGGGCAGCACAGCGTTGGGTAGGTCAGGGTAGAGCAGAGTAAGGTAGAGAGTAGTGTAGTGTAGACTAAAGTCAGTAAATGGTTTTAACCAAATGGAGTTCAAGTATGGGACAAAAAACATATACACCTATATAATACAATTAGAAACGTTACCTTGCATAGCAAGCATACGATCGAAATCATCACTTGATGATTCAACTTTTCCTGTAAAAATGTGATGAAAGTCAATATTGATATTTTTTGTGAAACCAGTGAAATATTCAGGTAACATAATAGTCAAGTATTTTCAAAAAACAAAAAGAATGCTCAAACCTACCTTCACAGAAGGTACTATTATCTGGGAAAAAAAGAAAATTAAAAATAAGGGTATTTAAATGGTAATAACGCAGATGGATAGGACTTATGAACAAATAAACGTTTGTCCTTTTGTTTATATATGCTGCTTGTAATTTGAAATTTTAAAACTGTCGTTAAATCTTTTCCTTACGTATTTTAAGGGCTCAAATTGTCTCTTTTGAATAAGAAGGAGATTTGAACCCCCTTAATGCTGAAGGAAACATTTTACGACAGTTTGAAAATTTCGAAATTTACAAGGATTTGTACTGAAAACAATTCAGACGTGACTGGTTGGCAAGAGTTGTTTCTCCTATACAAATCCTCCTCACTGTCAGCGGCCGTTGCAATCGCTACTTTTGAGATATACGGCTGAAAATTACCTAATTCTAAAAATGTTTTCAGTTCCTGAAACAAAATTTGTCAAAAGCGAACTGTCTTCGTGTTTACAGAAAGTTGATCTCGTGATCAACTATCGCTAAAAAGGCCTCTTGCACACTTTAGAAACTTTAGGGAGAATGGGCACAAGCTTTGGGTGTAGTCGTTTGGGGGGACAAGCGTTAGTTTTGATTGGTCGATAGTATTCAAGGAAACCATTATCCAATCATAACTAACGCTTTAATTGTCAACTCAAAGGATCCCCAAAATCGTTGCACCGCGAAAGGTTGTAAGCATTCCCCTTAACGTTTTTGGAGTGGGGAATTATCCCATTCTAAGGTAAGGTATATTTCACGTCACAAGTTTCGCATCACTAGTAAAGCCTCTTACCTCCCCGTGGGGAAATATCCAACAGGGCGAAGGCCTCATACAGAAGACCTCCATGTTCTGAACGACTTTGTAATTCCTCCAAGGTATAGACACATAGCTCGGCACCCGTTAAGTCAAGTTTCTCCGCATCACATTCTCCTGGCAGGTTATAGTAGTCCCAGGCCCACTTCAACCAGCACTGTACTTGCTCTTTGGTCCAGGTAAAAGGTGAGGATGTCATCCAGTCTGCGCCAGAATCCGCCTCAGCTGAAGAATCAAATTATTAAAAAAGCTTTATTTAAATCATATATGTCGATAATATCAGAATGCAGTCTTCGTGGAAAAATTCCACAGAAAGGATAACCAACATGGGAAAATGGTAGGAATAATTTTGTCTCTTATTTGCTTTCCTTTGCACGAGTTCGCAGTAAGGTTGTCGAGAAATTCTACGTTTGTAGGGGGTTTCAAGCAACCATTTTTAATATTAGATTTGTTTTGTTCCTAGAAAAAGCAGTTCGGAGGTCCATGCAATGGTTTGTACCAGGAGAGGCTCCGGTCTGTTCCTCATCTATGCAACTTAAACGCATTAATTTTTGTACCACGACTCTTCACGAGTCACGTGAGCTAACCAAGATGGACGAAGGTGCGTTCAGTGCTCCGTAAAGTTTTCCCTCTTTCTTAAATCGTATGTTTAATTGTTCTTTCGTTAATACGTCTCGTTTGATCGTATACTATGCCTGAGACTATTGCTAACATTAAAAGAGAGAACAACGAACCCAAATCTCAAGTTGTTTAACACATGTTAGTCTCTCTCTTTGTAATCGCTATTTGGTCGTATTTACTTACTTTGTTTTATGTTAGTTTATTCTACCTATTGTATTGCAGTGTCTTTATTGTTATGTTCAATAAAATTTGTTGTTGTTGCTGTTGTTGTTGTTTTTGTAGCATGACGTTTTTTGTTTTCAGGGAAGGAGGTCGCCGCCCCCTCAGATACGAATATAACCACACGCCTATGGGACTGCTGCCCTTAAGTAAACCCTGTACCTGATACTCAAAACAAAAAGCGTCACGGCACTTTTTCTTGATTTGTTTTTGTTTCTTGGTTTCGTTATATTTTGTTTGTTTCTTTGCTTGGTTGTAAGGTAGAATACTCGTCAGATGATTATGATAAAACAAATTCACTCTGACCATACAACTAGAGTGAGTGTCATATAGTCCATCTTATAATGTGAAACATCGAAAACAAGCTGTGATCTGGGATAGCTTTAGGCCCTGTCCACACTTTCAAATGTATGCGTGGTCGTAGTCATCGAAAACGCATCGATCGATTCGCCGCCACATCACCGTTTTGATGCGTTTTCGACTGTTCACACCAAAACATTCGAAAACGATAGAATTGCACGTTGTGACGTAAGTTGAACTCTAAACACATGCTAAAAACACACGCGCCTGCGATATTTTTGGTCATCGTTTTCATTTTGATGCGTTTTCGGCAGCTTTCGACTCTCCACACTAATACGACATGTTAGAGTTTTCGTTTTGATCCACTTTCAAGAGCCTTTTCAAATCGATGCGTTTTCGATGAAAACGCTCAGGGTATTAGTGTGGATGGACGGCCTTAACGCATCGAGATGTATGCGTTTTCAAGCATTAGTGTGGATGGGGCCTTAGACTATCACCAAGTTATGAGCACTAGGCAGGTGCATGGCTGACGTCACTTGCTACTCTTTGCCCCTCCCATTTTCAAAAGGCAAAGATCTGGGCAGGAGGTGGAGTAAGGTGAAAACTTGTGGAAAAACCAGCAAACTGTTTTTTTAGATGAAAACTGTCTTCAACATAACTGACCGCGATCAATTTTTTTGTTGTTGTTGTCTCGACTAAACGTAAGTAACTTTAGGTCATTTTCAGTGAATAAAAGTAAGTTGATAGGCTGTTTTCATGATAATCTCATTTGAATACAGTTGCCATAATTCAAATCATTTAATTTTTAGGTTTAGTTAGTAATCCTAGTGAGGGCTCGATATTAACAAACACCATAATTTACACGAGAAAACAAAATCCTGAAGGATATTTGCAGTTGTGACAAAAAATAATAATGACAGTTTTATTCGCCCTCTGGTGTGGAGAAATAATGATGATGATGATGATGACTTCTCGTTATTTGCGCCATGCTTCATAAATCAGAGGGGATAAATTAGACTGCATTTTCGATCAAAAGTGTTTTGTTGGTAGACCTGTGCAGCGACCTTTAACTCACTTTTCAAACGGAGTCGGCTTTAATAGACCATTTAACAGTTGTGTACTGAGTATCCCACTCTTAAGTGAGAGCGAGGCTTGAGGTCATCTTGCTTTAATATAGAAACTCCTCATTGCTTTCCAAATGAAAATCTTGTCCTTCTACATATGAAAACCACTGAGTTTTTTTAATTTTTTTTGGACATGTTCGCCTTCATCCTCGCTTTAACAAATTGCATGGTCCTGCATCAAAGCTCATAATGTCCTCTGAACGGCTCCGATTAGGCCGCACATTTTGTTAAATGCCTAAGTATAATATGCACTACTTTCTTGAATAAGAAGCTTTATGTCTAGAAAACCCTAAAGGAATTTGGTAGATGTTGGTGCTTGCCCATTAAAATAAAATGTTAGGCAATTGCAATTGTTATGATCTATCCTTCAGTTTTCCTAACGTGTTTCCGTAGAGAGAAGGAAAGACAAGAGAGTGTTGTAGTCGACTACAAAAGATAATCAAGCTCGTGAATATGGGGGAGTCTGAACGACCGGTTTGCGAGAACTTTAATCCTCGACTGTTAAGACAGCACTAGAATATAAAAAGCTTGCCTTTATGGAAAGGAACTGAGATAAAATGATACCTTCCAAGACATATAGGTTTTTTCTTGTACTTCTTGAGCAATTCCGTATATCATACTGAACGGAAGTCTTAAGCCAGCGATACCACAAAGCATAATCACGGTGAGCAAACACAGTGGATGAATCGGAGGATTGTCTGTGATATGAAACTGAAAATCAGCCCGTCACGTTCAAGAAGAAAACGGTGTTAATATACCCCAAAATGTAGGTTAAGAAACAACTTCAATAAGCCGCGGGTATGTAGGTTCAGTAACGTTCCGTGTAAAACAACAAAGGACTTCCATTCAGGCTTTCATAGCACGGCAGACAATGATGGTCTTCTGGCAGCCAATCAGAAGGGAGTTCAGTTAAAAGCTGCCCAATCTCCGGCCGAATTTAGATAAGTTTGAATCTAGAGCAATTGAGTTTTGACGCCAAAATACAACGTTTCGTGTCAGAATCCACCTTTGCTTATAAGCAAGTTCGGGTTGGTTAATTAGTTAGTTTTAGCGCCGGCCACCTGCACAAGACGATTGAAAACTAAACAAAGGCATGCTCCACGTTTCAAGCCCGAGACATGCACATGCAAACAAAAATCTACGAGCAAAAAAGCTATTTTTGCTGTTTCTACAGTATTGATAAACTGAGGAAGTAAGTAATAAAGGACTGGCTGAAGATAGTTCACTTTCGATTGCTTTTTTTTAAGCCGGGATTGGGTATGCAAATCATGCCCTTTAAATGATGTCAGCCAATATTTATTGAATAATATAAGTTACAAACAATAGAGAAGGCAGTTCCCAAAACTGTGTTCTCAGTACTTGACTAAAATATCAAGTTTAGAATTTTAGATTCTAGTTGCTTTTACCAAACCACTTGTTCACTTGAACGGTGTTTGATTCGTATGTTAGGCATATGTAAACGAAGAGATCGATGTTAATCCTGGTGAAAAGTTCGTTCAAAGCAGTTAGATCGGCTATACAATCCTCAATCCGAAGTCCAAATACTACGCGTAAATGAAGCGGATTTTGAATTACAAGCTGGAAAAGAATCGAAAAAGTGCTTGCAAGTTATTCAGCCGCCACAAACGTCCTAATTACCACAGGGACGTCGATCATTTTCTTTCCCTTAGTTTGTGGTATAAACGAAAGGTAAATATCTAGATGTATGCATTGAAAAACATTTGAGTAAAAATCTCGTTGTCGCAGATGTTCCGCTCTGTGGGGCCTGTGGGAGAAATCCTATTTCGTGTGACTATCATTGTATCATTTCTAAAGGCCAAGTCTCTTCAAATACGGATATTTTTGAAACGGCGTACTTTTTACCCGAATCAGCCTTCAATTTACACGAAACCAGTAAATCCGGTCACCAAAACCGCATTGTTTTGAAACCGCTCTTCAGAGTGGTTTAATGCCCCGTCTACACGAATCCGGATAAAAAATATGCGGGTTTAAAAATGTCCGGATTCGTGTGGACATACCCTAAATCAGTATCAGCAGGGATGGTTTACTGATTCGTGCGAGGTGTTACTGTCCCCTGTACATGCCAACCAAACCGGCTGTAGCCAATCACCGTAAAACAGCTGTGTTTTATTTGTCCTTCGCGTGAGTCCCGGGGCGTGAGTATAGTAATGAGAGATGCTGTGAACATTTAATATAACTTCTATACAGGAAATCCTGTATGGTGTGACCATGCAAATGAAATCTCTTCATGCATGTTCAGTAGGCGCAGTACTTATGCAAGTTGAAAGTTCTCTAAGATTCTAGCTCCTTTGGGTGGAAAGACCATTTCAATATGCTACAAATGTGCGTAAACTTCTGTTCTGTATGCATGGGCTGTGGGAAATATAAGATAAACTACGTAAAAGTTTCCTTAAAAGCTGCCTGCTAATTATCACCGTAATATCATGCCAAACATATGTCTAACTATTTTCAATTTTTATCTTGAAAATGGACATGATTTTCATTCTTCTGTTTCCTGAGTGGTCACCGGCGTTTGAAATACTGATTGATTGGTATTTCATAGCACTTGTGTTTGTTGACGTTCCCACAGTCTTTCTTAGCAACCACTCAATAACAAAGTTGCCTGCATGTAAGGACTCTGAGTAATAGTTTCTAGATTCCAGTCTCGGCGTACTTTCACTACAGTGGAACCTCGATATAACGAAGGGCCAAGGGATTGGCAAAGTATATGTATCACGAAGTTTCGTTATCAGTTCTTTTCGGCCTCATTTTACTATTACTCAGGCAAAAAGCAAATACATCGCTTTTCCGAGAACTTCATTGTATAGAGGTTTGTTATATCGAGGTTCCACTGCATATCTGAACGCATGAGAAGGAATAACTAGAAGAAAATTTGCCCTTTACATTTCTTAATATATAAAATAGAATCATTGCTTTTTTGTAGAGTCATAACTGAATATTTCAAAACAAAATGTCTCCTCAATAAAAATTGATCAATGACAGTTTGCTTATATATTTACGAAAAAAAGCGAGAGACGTGTACAAAGCAAGGCAGTAATAGTAAGGTGCTAATAGAAGCATGAAAGTAGTGCAAACTGGGGAGACATATCACAAACTTTACTGACCAAGAGAAGGAACTGATGGGTTACGACATCAAACCGTACATTTTATCACCGAGAAATGCATTGCCGAAAGTCGAATGATTCGCTAAATTAGGGAAACAACTCTTCTCGCTTTTAGTTCCGTACAGTTTGTATATATGATTGACTAACAGTCCAGAGAATTGTTACAAGAAACCCTAATTTTAGTTATAGCCGTATGATAATGTCACTAGTGCAAAAATGTCAGTTCTTGATTTTAAATATAAAGTGGTTGCACAAAATACTGAAGTTGTTCAAAATGATTTAAACGTGTCATGCAGTATATAAAACTTGCTGAAAATATATCTGACTTACATGCGAAACACTGAAAACGTGTTACACGATAAAATATATATGACTTGTTTATATTTTTAACAAGTTATATCAGATGCAATGACAAATTTTAGACTATATTTTCAACAAGTTTTGATTATGGTTTATTACATTTGTACACGAACTAACATGTTTTTTTTATGGCGAGCAAAATGTTTTAGATATTTAATGTTAAGTTTGATATATCAAGAACGAATTTTTTTTATATCATATGGCATTTCACTGAAAACATCAAGGAAATGTCTTGGGCGAGCTGTGGTTAAATCCGATTACTAAGTCACTGAACTGTAATATATCTTTGGTAAGCCTTACCAATGATATATTACTTCACCGTTAAGTAAATCATGATCTGTAATAACGTAATATGATGTGGCAGTTCTCTTACATCACTAACTGGAAAAGCTCCTACACTAACCTGTCGGACCAAGCGTCTCTAAGACATCCAAATTAACCAGGGTACGATCCGGAGACAACGGTGGATTATCGATATACAATGGTGAACCGGCCAAAGTGTCCTGGTCCGAACCGTAACCAGAGGTAAGGCTTGAGCAGCTCTTCCAAGAACTCATACTACTACTCCTCATTTTGGTTTGCCCTTCACCGAAAGCTAAATCTGATGGTAGCAGTTGCGATGGATCTCCGTTGAAAGACTGACTTCCATTCGGGTCAGGGACCACTTGACTGGCATCTATCTCCATGGAGCTTTGAGACTCGCTGGGATTGGAAATGAAGGCTTGATTCAGAAAATTCTCCAGTTCTGCTACCTCTTCGTAGTTCATCTTAGCTGCCTCTATTAGCTCTTGTTCTGAGAAAGTCTGTAAAAAAAAGACAACAATCAGAACCACAGTCACCTATAATTTAGTTTTAAAGTGTATTCTCAGTTGTAGGTAAAATCCATTTTCAGGCTTAATCAATATTCAATCAGTCTGATTCAGAAGTTCCTTTGTTTCCAAGCTCTTGTTATTCACTGGGAACAACTAGGAAATTCTGGTATAACTGCAAGTATACAGATACCTTACAAACTCTTCAGCTTTGATGCTTAAAAACATTTTTCCACAGTGAAACTGTACTCCCAAACTGGAGAGATTTTTAAGTTACCGATAAAGTTCTAACAGTTCCAAGCACAAAACGACCGAAAGTGAAATCATTTGTGAAATCACTGTGGCTAGTGAGAAAGCTTTCAGATCGCTAAATTTTTAAGGGAATTAATGTTTGTTTTCCTTGATTAACTGAGGCTGAAAGCCACTCAACAACCTTCGCTTGAATGCTCGTATATTTGCATTTTAATTATTATCATTATAGGTAAACAAACTAAATGTTGGTAAAAATTTAATGCGACTCTAATCTATGGTTGGTTTTTTGTAAACTGTTCTTCTTTTGCCTCGGTCTTTCGCTTTAAGGGAAATAAACGGCGTCGAAAAGGAATCCGTGTTTTCCTAGCCTCGACCGTCTGTGATCGGCCTTACCATACGGCACGCCGAAACCGGCGACGAAATAGAAAGCATTTTCGCGAAATAGATAACGCCGGAGGAAAAATGCTCTGCACGTGCGAATATAAATAACGAGTAGCCTGAAACTGACTAAAACAATATGAAGACAATTATAGGAGCAAAACAGCGTCCGGGCCGTTTCGGATGATGACTGAACTCCTCGACGTTTTTTTTGAAAGCAGAGCATGTACATCCCCGAGTATTTTGCTCCTTTTACATTCGAACTGTCTTGTTGCACCATCATTTGGCCTTGTGGTAGCTGCAGTATATGGTACAATGAGTTTTACTGCCCCGTACTTTGCCAATCCGAATACTTGTAGTTCAGTTGATCTCACGCACGGCCACGCCAGTTTCAATTCAATTTCACCGCTGACTGTTCTCGAAAGCCAACTCGGTATTGGTGAGGTATCTATAATTCCATAAACCCCTAGTGGAAGATGCAAAAAGATTTTAAAACCACAAAGCAAACTTGTGTTTCAAGACAATTTGAGCCCAACTGAAACGACTATCCTCTATTTAAGTCTCAAACATTATGTTAGACGATTGGAATGCCTTTTATGATCGCAGTTTTCCCGGTGTTTCAGTGGCGGCCGTAACGAGCTCTAACTAGTCAGTTAGAAAATTGGGCGTTTGTAACTGCGTAAACAGTAAAACTACTGACATTCTTAAATTAAGTATTCGCATTGTATATTCGCAATATAGACTAAGAGGAATGCGCTAAATAAAATTCGGAAGGTTAATTAAGTTGGGCGGTAAATGTTATTCTTAAGACGAGCCAGTGTGTTAGAATATTAGGCATCGACGCTTTTACACAGGTCTACCACGTAAAGAACTGAGCTTTTAAAAGTCGTCAACCTTAACACTTGTGGTATATGAAGTCAGTTCCACGTTCCTGTTATGTTAGCGTTCGTCAAAGGATTTGGAGAATATTATGAAAAGCAGTAGATTAAAACGCCGCTGTCCTTATTGGTAGCCATCCGTAACACATCTTACCGCCTACCTCCATGTCATAAGTCCAAGTCCGACAGACAATAAAACACTTCATGAAGTCTGTAACCATTAACCGATTACTTGGTGAAATGACACTCCGATTTGGGTACAAGTTTTAAAATGTTGCATATATTAAAGAGGCTTCAGTGTTTTAAGAAAGAAAAGAATGCGCTCCGTAACTGTCTAGGGCTCAAAGAAATGGATCGGAAGCCGTTTGGATGGCAAACATTACACCCGAGCCCACATCGAAGATGGGTATCAACTTCAGATCTTTGTTGCGTACGGCCAAACAGAATTGTGTCAAATGGTGCAGTTTGACTAAAAACAATTAGATAACAACTACTTCTAAAGGTTTTGAGTTGTTTTTTTTTTAGCTGTTAACTACCGGCATTGTTCATGGATAAATTCACAGTCCAATTGAATCAGAGCAAGCACATAGTTTTCACAATATATAAAGGCTCTATTTTCCGCCTTTTTATAAACAAAAACAAACTGGTTTTGCAAATTTATTATGTTCAAATACCTTACCAAGGTCAGGTTAAGATTGTATTATTCAAAGACCGTTGTGACGAAATAATAAAACACTTACTTAAAAAGACGCTGGTATAAAGGAATAAGAAGAAGCTTTTTCGACACATTTGGAGAGTTAAATTCCCAAGAAATGACTGCAAGCCACGAAACATTAAATGTGTGACGTAGTTTTAAATTATACCAGCTTGTCACCCCGCCATTTTTGTCAGCAGTCAATCCTATAAACAAGTTTCTCATTTTAAATTAGTTACTAGCCGTTGTTTAAGTTTTCTTGAAAAGTTCAGCATAACTATATCTAGCTCGTTTGTGTTGTACGAAAGTTGTTTGCGTTGCCCAAAGCCGATTTTGTAGGGATTCACTGTGAAAGACCGGTGCCAGTATTGTAAGAATGAATTACTCTCTTGTCTCATTAATATTCTAAAAATTTCACACGAACAGTTACGTCTAGACGGCCGGCCAACACGAGTTCTTATTAAATTCACTTTTCCAGTTCATACTCACACCTACAAATTCAATCTATTTGTTGAGCTGTGTTACCGGATGTGGTATAAACACTTTTTTGGAGGTCAGGTATACATGTTTTCCTGCTAAAAATATACGTGGGAAAGACAAATTAGCTCGAGTGTAGATCCTGTGTGGGGACAAAGGAAAACTGTGGTGTAGTGTTTTCTAGTGTCAAAACAACTAGAGGTGTGTTTTGACTGAAAGATCTACAATCGATGCATCTTCAGAATGTAGACGGCGGGCGAAAATTCTACTTGTCCTTTTTTAGGGTCACCTTTCGTACTGGAGTCTATAACAGTTTTGTTTATAAAAGACCTCTCTGGGACTAAGTGGACGGCTGTTATATTAAGAGGCGTCTGAGCTCCAATCCACCAAAAGAGCCAGATGCTCGACAGCGTAATTTCAGACTCCACAGCGCTTTAAGCAAAAAATAACATATTAAATAAAATGAGGAGACATAAGAATGGAGGTTACCATACCTCGGTATGTTAGCCGAATGAATCTTGCACTGCAGAACTCAATAGACACTGCTTAACTGAGTGCACAGTTTTACGCCTCGAGAATTTGTAAATCATGGCAAACTAAGTTCATTCGAGCTCCACTTGGTCGTTTTAGCGCGTTGAAGCCATGACTCACAAGGGGTTTCCCCGTTACGATCATCTCATTGGCTGGAAAAGCGGTGTTTTCGGCTATTCGTGATATGATTGGCCAATCCTCTACTCGTAAGTGACTATTTGAAGAATAGAGTAGGCGGGATCACACGTGCTTGATTGACAATTACATCCGGTGTAGAGCCTTTGTACAATGGTATTGACCCCGCATCAGCGTAACCGGTTGTTAAATATAACACAATTTCTTTCATTTACGTATTTCTGCTAAAACCTTCTTAGTACGACATCTCCGAAGGGTTATCCTTTACTGACTATACCTAAGTAAAATTTTACTTCAGTCATTTATCAGAAATTCTTTTGACTAACCTTGTACATGATACAGCAAAATGGTAAAGTCAGTAATTGCTTTCCACGCTTCGATTCAATAGTGGGTTTAGTCCCGCCGTATTTTTTCTTCATAGTTTGACAACTCCAGGTATTTTGAAGGAGCAAAAAATAAACATCATTACAAATAGTCGAGGCATGCAAAAATTATTTGATGTAATGATCTGCGGTCACGTAACGACTTCGTGTTGCTAAGAGGCGTGTACACAAACGATCACCCATAACCAAAAAAACCATTAACATTATTGAATAAATAGCGCTACAATTAGTCATTTTTTTGTCCCGATTCGATTCCCCTCAGTGTGCTATCTGTACATTTACATTTGCACTAGACAACTCAATTTATTTTCCCTTCACAGGGCTTCCCGTCAAATAATTGTACTGTCTGTGCGCGCGTGCTTCTGCATAATTTGTCCGCTAGCTACACACAATTACAGTCTGATAGAATTAATCGTTGTTTTTGTTATAAAAATTCATCACGCAAGCGATTCTTTTTTAGTTCAATTTAGAAATACAAAAAATCATGTAGCACAGTTTACTTTCTGAATATATGTTAGTGAAGCCCCCCCTTTTTTGTTTTTCGTTTTTAAATATTCGGTTTCTGATCTTTTCTAGAAGTAAGATATTTAAATAGCGGGTAGCTCCTCGGTACAGGTGCGACTTGTTGTTTACAAACGTTAACGCATCCTGTTTTCCTACGATTAGAGGCACGTACGAACGGCTTAAAAACCTCTCTCAACCAGTCGGGAAATAAATAACTATGACAAATTTGGCAGATTATTTCTTTCTAAACGTGACTTATAGTATGGGGTGATAGAGACTGTTAGTCATGCTCAGTCAAGTTACCTCTGAAACAAAATAACTTGATCACGTCGTCTATCTCTATGAAAGCTTCCGGTGAAAAAGGCGATCTTAGACTGATGTCATTCTCCATGATCTATTTTGAAATCAGATCTAATAAGGACCAAAAACAGTCTTAATGATCGAAGTTAGCTTTTCTTTCAGGCCAAACGGTTATTCTCCTGTAAAGAGAAAGGGTTCCACCTTTTTTGCTTCAAAAAACGAGGGTTGAGGTTTGAGCTAGCTCCAAGAATTACTGGCACGCAGTACATATTTCGGCATTAATTTCGAGTTCAAGTCACTGACTGAACTTAGTATTGCGGCTCACCAATGGAAGATTAAAAAAAAAAGTTTATTTTATTTTATTTTCTCTAGTACAAATAAAGTCCATTTGTGTAGCTGGTCTTGTATTTTTCTAATAAATAATAA